AAAGTCACCCTAGACTTGCTCCACTCACTTCTGCTTTCTGGGGCACCATTTCCACGGCCCCAAAGTCCCCTGACCCCAGGCACGTTCTCACACACAGGTGCCAGTAGATGGGCCAGGAGAGATTCATGGGATGAAGCCCATGACCTGGGGAAGAACTAAGCCACATTCATGGAGCTGCAGAACCTGGCCGCCTGGATGGAGATGAAGTGGCCCAGAGGGTGGCTGCTCACTGGCCTTTCCAGTCCTTCCCCTCTAACAGTGATGGCGACGGGTGGCTGAGGCTGCAGAGGACTCCTGGAGCGGCCGGGCGCCCCCAGCCCAGCCATGGCATCACAGCGCTCAGTGCAGACCCCTCCTGTCCTCTAAGGCTGGGCTGGGTGCCTGCATGCCAGGTGATTGGAAATTCTGTATCCCCAGCGAGGGTTTGTGGTAACAGCCTGGCTCCAGACAGGCTGGGCAGACAGCTAGCTGTCTGTTTTTGCAAGCTTCTTCATCTGTAAAACGGGCCCAAAGCCTGCTCCTTCCTGGGGCTTCGGGAAGGGCTTGGTGTATGGGGTCAGGGTGGCAGTGTATGGGTGCTCCTGGCCGGGACAGCAAGCACCAGCTTCTTCCTGCAGCTCAGAGAGTCAGGGATGGTCCCCTGCCCTGCCCATCCCACCCTCACCCTAGTCCTGCCCCACTGCTAAGGCCCAGTAAGGGCAGGGGCACAGCAGATGTGCGAGACCTGCCGGGACCATGCTCCTGGGGGGAATGGGGTGGCGCAGGCCCTGTGGGCTCCCCTTCCACCAGACGAGGCCGCGGATCCCAGCCATACTCCTCCCATGTTCTGCTCAGGCCAGTGCTTCTCCTCTCTGAGTGGGACAGCAGTGGAAATGCCCCGGCCTCTAGTCTCTGCTCCTTCTCGGACCAGCTGTCACCTCCTGAGCTCGGGCCCTACACCAAGCAACATCAGCCCCAGAACTTGTGGGAATGGGGCCCCTGTGCCAACTTGGTGAGTGTCACCTGCTGGCTCCCTGCTCTGGGCACAGGCCTCTTTCCATCACCAAGCCTGTGGATCGCCCTCTGTGGCTGGGTGTTGGGAGCCTCTCAGGGGCCCCTCGACAGGCCCGCCCTCCCAGGGCTCATGCCTGATGCGGGAGACCCGTGCAGGCTGCCAGGTAGCTCGGCCAGCATGCGGAAGGGGTGTCAGGGAAGGTGTCCCAGCGGGGAGAGCACATGCAGGAGGCCCTCTGAATGGCACAACAAACACCTGCATTTGCTTTGATGGCCAGGAATCCCCTGCCAGGGTTGTCAGGGCGAGGGTGGAATCATGGTGGAGGCTGGGCAAGAGAGCTGTGGAGGGCGGGCACCATTGGTCCCAGGGGCTCCTTACCTGTGTCCCCAGGGAAGCAGACCCCACTTCTGTCCACTCTGGCTTTTACACTGTCCCACCCTGGGCTCGGCCTGCCAAAACCAAGACCCCTGCCACAACCCAGACTTGGCCAAAGCAATTTCCTGGCCCCAGAGCATGGCCCCTGGAGCACCAGGAGCACCTGCTCTGACCTCTGATGCCAGAGCAGACATCAAAGGGGTGAGCCATGGCCTGTGGTCAAGGTCAAGCCCTGACGAGCCATCAGGAGCCAGAAGCCCAGGCCTCGGTGCTCTGGGCACCGACCGGCAGGCCGACCCTGTGCCCCCGCGGGGCCAGCACATGGGTCAGGAAACAATTCCAAAGTCCTTTATTGGGCCGGCAAGGCCGGGAGCTGCCCTCAGAGTGGGGTCCCAGGCTGGAGTCTCCAGGTTGGTGGCAGCCCTGTCCATTCTGGCCGGGGCGGGCGGCCCGCTGTCTTGCTATTTGGCGCGCGCCTTCACGTACTCCCAGCCCTCCTTGGAGTACTCGCAGGCCTTAGAGGGGGCCACCGACAGAGCTGACATCACCGTGATGATGCCTGTGGGGAAGGGACGGCCACTGATGACACTCCCCTCCCAGCCTCACCCAGCCTCCAACCCCGGGGAAACGCTAAACTCTAGGGTATTTTGTTTTTTTTTTAAGAGACAGGGTCTCTGTCGCCCAGGCTGCAGTATGGTGGTGTGATCGTAGCTCACTGAAGCCTCAAACTCCAGGGCTCAAGCAATCCACCTGCGTAAGCCTCCCAAGTAGCTGGTACTGCAGGCACATGCCACCATGCCTGGCTAATTAAAAAAGATTTTTGGGCCGGGCATAGTAGCTCACACCTGTAATCCAAGCACTTTGGGGGCCAATGCGGGCGGATCACCTGAGGTCGGGAGTTCAAGACCAGCCTTACGAACATGGTGAAAGCCCATCTAAAAAAAACAACAAAAAAAAAGATTTTTGCCAGGCGCGGTGGCTCATGCCTATAATCCCAGCACTTCGGGAAGCCAAGGCGGGTGAATGGCCTGAGGTTAGGAGTTCGAAACCAGCCTGACCAACATGGAGAAACCCCATCTCTACTAAAAATACAGTATTAGCCAGGCGTGGTGGCACATGCCTGTAATCCCAGCTACTTGGGAGGCTGAGGCAGGAGAATCGCTTGAACCCGGGAGGCAGAGGTTGCAGTGAACCGAGATCACATCATTGCACTCCAGCCTGGGTGACAAGAGCAAAACTTCATCTCAAAAAAGAAAAAAAAAAAGCAGATTTTATTTTTTTTTTTTTGAGACGGAGTTTTTTTGCTCGTTACCCAGGCTGGAGTGCAATGGCACGATCTCGGCTCACCGCAACCTCCGCCTCCTGGGTTCAGGCAATTCTCCTGCCTCAGCCTCCTGAGTAGCTGGGATTACAGGCACGCACCACCATGCCCAGCTAATTTTTTGTATTTTTAGTAGAGACGGGGTTTCACCATGTTGACCAGGATGGTCTCGATCTCTTGACCTCGTGATCCACCTGCTTCGGCCTCCCAAAGTGCTGGGATTACAGGCTTGAGCCACCGTGCCCGGCCTAGCAGATTTTATTTTTGAAGAGATAAGTTATAATGTTGCCCAGGTGGTTCTCAAAGTCCTGGCTTCAAGCAGCCCTTCCGCCTCAGACTCCAAAAGTGCCGTAGGTATGAGCCACCACACCTAGCAAGCAAGTCTTTTTTAGAAGAACAACTTCCAGCAGAAACTGAGGCAGCAGAGGGGCAGCACCTTGCCTTGTCCAAGCTCATAGTACAAGTTCAGATGTGGCCCAGGCCTCCCACCTCCCATTCTTTTTTTTTTTTTTTTTTTTTTTTTTTTTTTTTTTTTTTTTGAGACGGAGTTTCGCTCTTGTTACCCAGGCTGGAGTGCAATGGCACCATCTTGGCTCACCGCAACCTCCGCCTCCTGGGTTCAGGCAATTCTCCTGCCTCAGCCTCCCGAGCAGCTGGGATTACAGGCACACGCCACCATGCCCAGCTGATTTTTTGTATTTTTAGTAGAGACGGGGTTTCACCATGTCGACCAGGATGGTCTCGAACTCTCGACCTCGTGATCCACCCGCCTCGGCCTCCCAAAGTGCTGGGATTACAGGCTTGAGCCACCGTGCCCGGCCTCCCACCTCCCATTCTAACATGCAGTGCACAGTCCAGTCCTCAAAGGCTCCACCCTCGTCCCCTTCCCTAGAATCTCCACTCCTTTCCCTTTTATTCATTTACTTGAGACAGACTCTTGCTCTGTTGCCCAGTCTGGAGTGCAGTGGCGCAATCTTGGCTCACTGCAAGCTCCACCTCTGGGGCTCAAGAGATTCTCCTGCCTCAGCCTCCAGAGTAGCTGGGACTACAGTCAGCCACCACCACGCCCAGCTAATTTTTGTATTTTTAGTAGAGACAGAGTTTCACTGTGTTGCCCAGGCTGGTCTCAAACTCCTGACACTCCTGACTTCAGATGATCTGCCTACCTCAGGCTCCCAAAATGCTGGGATTACAGGCATAAGCCACCAGGCCTAGCCTCCTTTCCCTTTTAGATCCCTAAGAGATACGTGTGGGGCAGGCAGTGGGATGGATAGAAAAAGTGGCCAGGACATGGGGAGAGGGGCTAGACTGGGGTGTCTGCAGCAACCCCCACAAGCAAAGAAACCAGGTGCCTACCTGCGTTCCAGGAGTCACGGATGGGAAAGTGAATCTTTGGAGGAGCTGGGAGCTGGGAAGAGAGATGGGCAGAAAGAACTAGTGAAAAGACCCAGCAGCCCTGCCCCAGAGACAGAGGGAGGAGAACAGGCCTGAGAGTCAGGCAGCACGAACACAGAGGACGTCATGCAGGCTGGAGACACCCCCAGAGCCTGCCGCTCGCCAAGCCCTGGCCTCGCTCCCAGCCCGGAGTACCTGGGGTATCTGCAGGCCTGTCTGCTGACACACGTACTGGCTGAACTGGTACATGGCTGGGGGGACCACCTCCCCAGCCTTCTTTAGGGCTGCCTGGCTCTTGTCGCTGGACCCCAGCAGCTCCTGGTCATACACCAGGTAGACGGCGCCCCCAGCCACACTTCCCTTGATGAGGAACCTGCGGGTAGGGACGTGAGGAGCAGAAGCTTAGCGGACACTGACCGCCACCCTTAGGAGCCTAGGCCCAAGGGGAAAGTCATCCTCCCGGCGGCTCACCGTCCACAGGGTGACACTCTAGTGTAGCACCGTCGACCCAGACCCCTATCATACACAGCACTCGATTCACAGTGTGCCAGGCAGGGCGGCTGGACGCCACTTTGATCGGGAAACTGAAACCCAGAGCGGGAGAGTGGGTCCCACAGTGAGCAGGGGCAGTGAAAAAGATCCTTGACTTTCCAGAGCCTTCCAGCCCTGGAGAAACCAAGTGTCCCTGGACGCCTCCTGCCTGCTGTCCAAGCCCGCATTCACCTCCCATCCACGCCAGCGGCAGGATTCGCCGGGCACTGCCACTTCACAGAGAAGACAACTGAGGCTCGGAGGCGCAGGCAGACACCGTGAGTGGAACGGGAAGGGCTCGCTGGGAGGCAAGAGGGAAGGGATTGGCGACCTCGGGAAGCCCCACCCCGCTGGAGCCTCAGTTTCCCTATCTGGCCCATAGGCTGGGGAGGAAAGGGAGGTAACTCTACAGGAAACGAAGAGCAGATCGCAAGCAGACTGGAGACAGGGGTGCCCACAAAAAGGGACTTTTTCGGGGACTCGGGTCCCATCCGGCGGCCCTACGCACCTCATCAGCGACCACACCCGGGCCACCATAGTCGCTCGACTTCACGCGCAAGGACACTCGACTCGTCCGCCGCTTCCGGTCGCGACGCCGCAGAGACCTCTGGGAGGCGTAGTCTTTCTTGTGCGACGCAGAGTCCCCTGGGAGTGGTAGTCTCTTAGGACGCTGAGACTCCAGAGAAGGGCTACGGTCTCGCCGCGAAGGGCCTCTGGGAAATGGACGCCTAAGGACCCGGGCCGCTGCAAGGCTGCCTGGGAAATGTAGTCAGCACCGCGCTGTTTGCGTCCGGCCGCGGAGCCTCCTGGAAAATGTAGTCCGGCCCGGCCTAACCCAGCCCTACCAACGTGAGGGGAACGAGGCGTCGGGTGCTTGGACTGAAGCCTGAAGGTGACCCGAGAAGAAGTCGGAGCCCGAGAGATCCGCCCGCGCCCGCGCGGGGGACTAAGGACCAGGACCTAGAAAGACTGCCCATAGAAGGTGGTTGTCACGGCAACGCGAGGGCGGAATTGTTCGAAACCGGCCGTCCCGTCACGTGATGGATTCGGGGGCGGGCATTCCGCCCAGGGGGCGGGGCCGCGACTGGGAGGTGGAGACCAGGCGGGGACTGTTGCCCGGCGACGCTCCGGCGCTGGGTCCCCGCGGCCCGGCCCCTCCCCGCGAGGAGGTGGGCTTGGAGTCAGGTGACCCGGGCCCTGCGGGAGGGGGCGCGGTCGGGGACCCGGCAGGAGGCGGCCGGGAAGAGAGCGTCGTGGGACGTTCGCGTGGCTCCCAAGCCGGGACCCCAACCCCGCTGGACAGTGGGGGAAACTGAGGCCTGAGTGGGTAAGTACACAGTTTAGGGCTACGCAGCACGTCACACGCCCCCTTTGTTCAGAAGGGAAGCTAAGGCCCGCCGAGGTCTAGAAGAGGCCGGTGGGTTCTGCAGGGATTTGTCCCTCCCCGCCCCTGCCGCCCCGATTCCTCCTGCATCTCGGCTAGGCTGCTTCAACCGTTCATCTGCCCATCCATCCGTCCATACGTCCATCCTTCCATCCATCAGTCTGTCCCCTCACCCATCCATCTATCCATCTGGCCATCCACCCACTCATCTATCTAGCCATCCACACTTCTGTTCATCGGTCTCCCCATCCATCCGCGCATCCGTTCATCCATCTGCTCCCCCGTCCATTCATCCATCTGCTCCCCCCATCCAGCCATCTATCCATCTGACCATCCACCCACCCATCCTTCCATCTATCTATCCACACTTCCATTCATCATCTGTCTCCCCATCCATCCAAGCATCCGTTCATGCAACTGTCTGTCCATCCGCCCATCAATCCATCCATCTGCTCCCCCATCCATCCACCCATCCTTCCATCCCCCCATCCATCCATTCATCCGTTTCCCAAATTCATTATACATCCATCCCCTCATCCATTTATCCATCCACGCATCCATCCACCCATGCACCATGGCTCCTTCTATCTGTCTATCCACTCATCCGTCCATCCGTCTGTCCATCCGGCCTCACTTCCCCCTGCCGGGCTGCTGCAGTCAGTGTGGAGCTGGGGGTGGAAAGAGGGATGAGCAGAGGGACTTCATGGACTGTCTCTGGAAGGGGCAAAGGTGGAAGCTCGTTTCTTGCTGTGGGCATGACTGTGTGTCTGGGGAAGCTAGGGGTTCATTCCTTTGAGAAGTGAACGACTCATAGATGGAGAGAGGATAGACAGGTAGTCAGGGGCTATACCTGCAGGGCCTTGTGGGCTGTAGTGAGGAGCCTGGCTTCCATCAGTTGCAGTGGAGACCCCTGAGAGGGTTTGGAGCAGGAAGACTGTGGCTATGTCGCTTTTGATACAGGTGCCTTTGGCTACACGGACAGGAGAGGCAGGGAGAGAATGAGTGTGGGGATGGGGAAGCCAGTGTGGAGGTAGGGGAGACCACATGGGAAGTGGAAGGGAGGCCAGGGGAAAGAAGATGGGGATGGTCAGGCTGGGGGAGGGTCTAGGAGGGAGGTGAGGTGACAATGTGGGAGCCCTGCAGAGAGAGAGGAAGGGACAGTTGGGGAGAGATTGCAGAGGGAGAACTGATAAGATCTGAAAGCATGAGGTCATGGGGTGAAAGGATGGAAGGGCGTGAGGACAATGCCTGCATCTCCCATTCAGGGACAGGGGACACTGGGCCCTTTCCGTCATGGTGAGCTGGGAAGAGAAGCAGGTATGGGGCTACATGCTGAGCCTGGATTGGATCCTGCTGGCTCTAAGGGGCCTGGAGGTGGTCAAGTGGAGGTGCCCAGAGGACAACAGAGGCAGAGAACCTAGGGCTGGACCTGGAGATGGAAGATTTAGGGATTCTTCAATGAGAGAGCCTGTCTCAAAAAAAAAAAAAAAAGAGGCCGGGCGCGGTGGCTCAAGCCTGTAATCCCAGCACTTTGGGAGGCCGAGGCGGGTGGATCACGAGGTCAAGAGATCGAGACCATCCTGGTCAACATGGTGAAACCCCATCTCTACTAATGGTGCAAAAAAGTAGCTGGGCATGGTGGTGCGTGCCTGTAATCCCAGCTACTCCGGAGGCTGAGACAGGAGAATTGCCTGAACCCAGGAGGCGGAGGTTGCGGTGAGCCGAGATCGCGCCATTGCACTCCAGCCTGGGTAACAAGGGCGAAACTCCGTCTCAAAAAAAAAAAAAAAAAAAGAAAATGAGGCCCTCTCTCGGAGGAGGTCACTTATTTTTTCTTTTTTTGAGACGAAGTTTTGCTCTTGTTGCCCAGGCTGGAGTGCAATGGCATGACCTTGGCTCACTGTAACATATTCCTCCCGGGTTCAAGAGATTCTCCTGCCTCAACCTCCTGAGTAGCTGGGATTACAGGCGACTGCCACCATGCCCGGCTAAGTTTTTATATTTTAAGTAGAGATGGGGTTTCAACGTTTTGGTCGAGGTGTCTCAAACTCCTGACCTCAGGTGATCCACCCGCCTTGGCCTCCCAAAGTGCTGAGATTAGAGGCCTGAGCCACCACACCCAGCCATTTTTTTTTTTTTTTTTTTTTGAGACGGAGTTTCACTCGTTACCCAGGCTGGAGTGCAATGGCGCGATCTCGGCTCACCGCAACCTCCGTCTCCTGGGTTCAGGCAATTCTCCTGCCTCAGCCTCCCGAGTAGCTGGGATTACAGGCATGCGCCACCACGCCCAGCTAGTTTTTTTTGTATTTTTAGTAGAGACGGGGTTTCACCATGTTGACCAGGATGGTCTCGATCTCTCGACCTCGTGATCCACCCGCCTCAGCCTCCCAAAGTGCTGGGATTACAGGCTTGAGCCACCGCGCCCGGCCATTTTTTTTTTTTTTTTTTTTTTTTTTTGAGACGGAGTTTCGCTCTTGTTGCCCAGGCTGGAGTGCAATAGCGCGATCTCGGCTCACCGCAACCTCCGCCTCCTGGGTTCAGGCAATTCTCCTGCCTCAGCCTCCTGAGTAGCTGGGATTACAGGCACGTGCCACCATGTCCAGCTATTTTTTTTGTATCTTTAGTAGAGACGGGGTTTCACCATGTTGACCAGAATGGTCTCGATCTCTTGACCTCGTGATCCACCCGCCTCAGCCTCCCAAAGTGCTGGGATTACAGGCTTGAGCCACCGCGCCCGGCTTTTTTTTTTTTTTTTAAGACAGGGTTTCACCATGTTGGTCAGGCTGGTCTTGAACTCCCAACCATAGTGATCCACCTGCCTTGGCCTCCAAAGTGCTTGGATTACAGGCGTGAGCCACCACGCTCGGCCTTTTTTTTTTGATACAGAGTTGGCTCTTGTTGCCCAGGCTGGAGTGCAGTGGGTGCAGTGGCATGATCTCAGCTCACTGCAACCTCCACCTCCTGGGTTCAAGCCATTTTCCTGCATCAGCCTCTCAAGTATCTGGGGGGATTACAGTTATGTGCCACCGAGACCGAGTCTTACCAAAAGAAAAAAAAAAAAAAAAAAAAGACGGAATCTTCCTCTGTCTCAAGGCTGGAGCACAGTGGCGAAATCTCAGCTCACTGCAAGCTGGTTTAAGCAATTCTTCCACCAGCTCCCTGGTTTAAGCAATTCTTCTGCCTCAACCTCCCAAGTCGCTGGGACCACAGGCACACACCACCACGCCTGGCTATTTTTTGTATTTTTAGAAGAGATGGGATTTCACCATGTTGGCTAGAATGGTCTTGATCTCTGTTTTTTGTTTTGTTTTGTTTTGTTTTTGAGATGTCTCGCTCTGTTGTCCAGGCTGGAGTGCAGTGGCGTGATCTCGGCTGATTGCAACCTCCACCTCTGGGGTTCAGGCGATCCTCCTGCCTCAGCCTCCTGAATAGCTGGAATTACAGACGTCTGTCATCACACCCAGCTAATTTTTTTTTTTTTAGTAGAAGTGGGGTTTCACTATCTTGGCCAGGCTGGTCTTGAACTCCTGATCATGTGATGCACCCGCCTTGGCCTCCCAAAGTGCTGGGATTACAGGCATGAGCCACCCACACCCGGCCTAATTTTTTTTTTTTTTTTTTTTTTTTGAAATGGAGTCGTGCTTTGTTGCCCAGGCTGGAGTGTAGTGGTGCAATCTCGGCTCACTACAACCTCCGCCTCCTGAGGTCACGTGATTCTTGTTCCACAACCCCTGAGTAGCTGCGGTTACAGGCACCTGCTACCATGACCAGCTAATTTTTGTATTTTTTGTAGAAATGGGGTTTCACCATGTTGACCAGGCTGGTCTCGAACTTCTGATCTCAAGTGATCCGCCTGCCTCAGCCTCCCAAAGTGCTGGGATTCCACGTGTGAAGCATCTCACCCAGATGAAGGAGGTCACTTTTGCACTGAGACTTGAAAGAAGTGAGAGAGCAAACCATTGGGTTATATCTGGGAACAGCATTCTAGGCAGTAGGAACAGCCCATGCGAAGGCCCTGAGGCAGGATGGTGACTGGCTGGTTTAGAGGAACAGACTGTTTTATTGGAGCAGAGTGAGCGTGGAGGACAGGTCTATGCAGAATGTTTGTGGCCACCAAGGAGTCTGTTTTTTGTGTGCATGTGTTTTGTGTGTGTGTGTTTGTTTGTTTGTTTTTTCTGAGACAGTCTTTCTCTGTCACCAGGGGCTGGAGTGCAGTGACGCAATCTCAGCTCACTGCAACCTCTGCCTCCTGGGTTCAAGTGATTCTCCTGTCTCAGCCTCCCCAGTAGCTGGGATTACAGGCATGTACCACCACGCCCAGCTAATTTTTTGTAGAGACAGGGTTTCACCCCATTGGCCAGGATGGTCTTGATCTCTTGACTTCATGACCTGCCTACCTCGGCCTCCCAAATGTTAGGATTGCAGGCATGAGCCACCACGCCCAGCCAAGAGTCTGGTTTTTTTTTGTTTTTTCTTTTTGAGACAGAGTTTCGCTCTTGTTACCCAGGCTGGAGTGCAATGGCGCGATCTTGGCTCACCGCAACCTCCGCCTCCTGGGTTCAGGCAATTCTCCTGCCTCAGCCTCCTGAGTAGCTGGGATTACAGGCACGCGCCACCATGCCCAGCTAAGTTTTTGTGTTTTTAGTAGAGACGGGGTTTCACCATGTTGACCAGGACGGTCTCGATCTAATGACCTCGTGATCCACCTGCGTCGGCCTCCCAAAGTGCTGGGATTACAGGCTTGAGCCACCGCGCCCGGCTAGGAGTCTGGTTTTTATTCTAACTGGAACAGGAAGGATTGCGGTCCAGGGGAGGCAAGGCATGGCGAAAAAGGCTGAGAAGGCAGGAGGGCAGGGGTGCAGGTGCGACAGTCCATGGAGCCAGCGTGGTGGCCTGGACGGGTGGTGGCTGTGGAAATGGAGAGGAGGGGATGGATCCAAGGTGGTGGCATCACCAAACGCCCATCACATGGCGGTGGCTGAGGGCCTGGCTCCTGCAGGCCACCTCTGTCCCCTGTCCCTCTGCAGGCCCACGGAGGACCATGAAGGTGCTTCTCCTCACAGGGCTGGGGGCCCTGTTCTTTGCCTATTATTGGGACGACAACTTTGACCCAGGTGAGTCTCTGGGGTTTATGGAGGGAGAAACCGGGCTGGCTGTCCTGTCCTTCGCCCAGAGTGACCACCCGGACTCTGGCCAGCCAGCCTCCAGGGAGCCCGAGTGCTGCTGACAGGGGCCAACGCTGGAGTCGGCGAGGAGCTGGCCTATCACTACGCACGCCTGGGCTCGCACCTGGTGCTGACTGCCCACACTGAGGCCTTCCTGCAGAAGGTGAGCCAACCCATGTCTAGACAAATGCTGGGGATGCATGTGGGGACAGGGAAGAGAGCCTGGGTTTGAATCCCTGCAGTCACCCCAGCTTTCTGTGTGACCCTGGGCAAGTCGCCTAGCCTCTCTGACCCTCTCGGTTTCCTCATTTTCAAAACGGGGACAATGAAACCACCCTCTGGCCGGGGATGGTGGCTGATGCCTATAGTCCCAGCACTTTGGGAGGCCGAGGCGGGTGGATCACAAGGTCAAGAGATCGAGACCATCCTGGTCAACATGGTGAAACCCCGTCTCTACTAAAAGTGCAAAAAATTAGCTGGGCATGGTGGCACGTGCCTGTAATCCCAGCTACGCAGGAGGCTGAGGCAGGAGAATTGCCTGAGCCCAGGAGGCGGAGGTTGCGGTGAGCCGAGATCACGCCATTGCACTCCAGCCTGGGTAACAAGGGCGAAACTCCATCTCAAAAAAAAAAAAAAAAAAAAAAAAGCTGGGCATGGTGGCACACACCTGTAACCCCAGCTACTTGGGAGGCTGAGGCAGGAGAATCACTTGAACCCAGGAGGCAGAGGTAGCAGTGAGCCGAGTTGTGCCACTGCACTCCAGCCTGGGTAACAAAGTGACATTCTGTTTTAAACACACTAACAAACTCCCACCTTTTCATGGGTTAGGATGCTGCACCAATGCAGTGAGACGGTTGACTCGAAAGCTTGGTGCATTCCTCAGCGAATGGGAGTATTGCGTGTCCAAGCCTGTATAGAGAGCTGGGATTCTCAAACTCGTAAGGGAGGATGGGCACTTCTTGGCAACCAACAGCCCATTGCTACTTCAGGGCAGGGTATGGCTCTTGGACACAAACCTTTCAAATTTTTAAGAGAAGCTAGAAATCTGCAAATTGTACGTGAAATGTCCTGTTTTCGATTTTGGTGATTGATTGATCGGCCAACATTCTGGCCCGCGGGCCTCCACTTTGAGCCTCCCCACCTCCCGCAGTAGTAAATCTTTGGGAAAGATGTTGAATGGGGCTCGAGGCACAGAGCAGGGGAGGGGTTTTCAGGCGGTGGCCTCCCTATGGCCGACAGGTGGGGGGGCAGCTGCAGAGGAGAGGCCCACGGGCAGCTCTGACCCTCCCCAGGTGGTAGGGAACTGCCGGAAGCTGGGCGCCCCCAAGATCTTCTACATCGCAGCGGACATGGCCTCCCCTGAGGCGCCCGAGAGCGTGGTACAGTTTGCGCTGGACAAGCTGGGTGAGGGGCTAGGCCTGGAGTTCGCAGTCCGGGACCGTGGCCTGGGCCTTAGGGACAGGACCAGAATTGGGGTGTGGGTGTGGCTACAGTAACAGGTGTCTCAGGGTGGAGACGTATCCCGGGACTGGGGACGTGGTGGTGGCGGGGGGGTGGAGCCTCATTGCATCGTCAGGGAAGAGCTCCAAACGGAGCCTCCTTGAATGGGGACGAAACTTAGCTAGATTCAGAGAATAAGGCCCAGGGCTGGGTGTCTTTGATCGTAGGGGGCGTTCCCTGGGGCGGAGCTCACTGGGTCAGCGCTCTGGGCGGAGCTAATATCGGGGGCGGGGTTTGGTTGTGCCTCGGGGGAGGGGCCTCTGGGGCTGACCCGCGTTTCTGGGCCAGGCGGGCTGGATTATCTCGTGCTGAACCACATCGGCGGCGCCCCGGCCGGCACGCGGGCCCGCAGTGCCCAGGCAACGCGTTGGCTCATGCAGGTGCTCTGCCCCTCCGTGGCCCGGGCCCGGCCCTCGATCTCAGGGACCGGTGCTCCAGCCCCCTCTCTTCAAGCTCTGCTCCCTTCACGACCCGGGCTGGGCCTCCTCCCGGGCCGGCCCTCAGCCCTTCCCGCCGTGGCCACGACCCTCCGAGCCCAAGGCCCCGCCCTGCCCTCCAGGATTCTAGGTCCGTCCTGGCATTGACCCCATCCTCGGACCATGCCCTCCCGGTTTCTAACCGGGTCCTTGGACCCCGCCCAGGCTTTGACTCCGCCCTTCGAGTTTCTAGGCCCGCCCAGCCTTGACCACGCCCCAGTCAGTAGCCCCGCCCACCCTTGGCCCCGCCCTCCGGGTTTCTGGCCGGATCCTAGGACCCAGTCCCGGCCTCTGGCCCCGCCCTGCCCCGGGGCTCCGCCTGCGTCGGTGACTCGCGAGTGCCGCCTGCAGGTCAACTTTCTGAGCTACGTGCAACTGACGTCCCGGGCGTTGCCCAGCCTGACGGACAGCGAGGGCTCCCTGGTGGTGGTGTCTTCGCTGCTCGGTGCGTGCGCTCGGCCCCGGCTCTGCGGGACAGGGAGTGGGGAGCTCGATGCGGGTGAGCCTGGAGGGCCTGAGCAGGTTTTCCGGAGGAGGGGTTGCCGCTCAGCCGCCGCCGTCCGCGTCCTCAGGCCGCGTGCCCGCGTCGTTCTCCACCCCGTACTCGGCGGCCAAGTTCGCGCTGGACGGCTTCTTCGGCTCCCTGCGGCGGGAGCTGGACGTGCAGGACGTGAACGTGGCCATCACCATGTGCGTCCTGGGCCTCCGAGATCGCGCCTCCGCCGCCGAGGCAGTCAGGTGAGGCCCGGGCGAGCCGGGGGCTGGGCTGGGGGCCATGGGCGGCTGCCCGGCCCCAGCTGCAGCCCCCACCGCGCCCTCCCGTCCCCAGGGGAGTCACGAGGGTCAAGGCGGCCCCCGGGCCCAAGGCGGCCCTGGCCGTGATCCGCGGCGGCGCCACGCGCGCGGCCGGCGTCTTCTACCCGTGGCGTTTCCACCTGCTGTGCTTGCTCCGGCGCTGGCTGCCGCGCCCGCGGGCCTGGTTCATCCGCCAGGAGCTCAACGTCACGGCCGCAGCTGCAGCCTGAGCACCAAGGGGTACCCCTCCACGTCCCGGACGGGACCGCTCCTACCTCCAACTGTCCCTGGAGCCAGGACGCTCACAAGAGACACCCCTGAGAGGGTGGCCACAGCCCAAGATAAAGTCATCAAGACAGAAAAGCAAAACCCGGAAAAACGACGGGCGCCTGGAACCAATCACAGCTTCGGAGGCGCAGGCGCCCCGTGTTAGGCGCCTTGTCCCGGACTTAGGACGCCTCACCAGTTTGGACATGATTGATGACATGACTGCTTCCATTTTGCAGATGAAGAAACTGAGGCTCAGAGAGGTCACACCAGCCTTGAGCCAGCCGTGGACCCCACTCCATTTCCTGCCTGCGCCTCTTCGTCCCCGATTTATTCTTTGCACTCATTCATTCCATCTGGGAGGATCCCCTCCCGACACCTGCCGGCTTCCCCAAGCTGGGGGCTCTGGGACTCTTCACACCTGCAGGGATGTCTGCACTGTCCGTGTACCTGGTAGCAGGGTATAAGAGGGAGGAGGAGGGAAAGAGTGTGTTTTGGGCTGGACCCAGTGTCCCGTTTGAGAATAAAAACGCTTCTTCCCTTGCATATCTGTTGTTCAGATTCCTTGGTAATTTCAGTTTGCTGGCAGCCGGCGGGCAGCGGGAGCTGTGTGTGTACCAGGGGTTTGGACTCTCGATCCCATTTCACAGGTGGAGAAATAGAGGCTGAGAGGCCAGGCGTGGTGGCTAACGTTTATAGTGCTAGCACTTTGGGAGGCCAAGGCGAGCGGATCACTTGAGGTCATGAATTTGAGACCATCCTGGCAAACATGGTGAAACCCTGTCTTTTTTGTTTGTTTGTTTTTGTTTTTGTTTTTGAGACGGAGTTTCGCTCTTGTTACCCAGGCTGGAGTGCAATGGCACGATCTCGGCTCACCGCAACCTCCGCCTCCTGGATTCAAGCAATTCTCCTGCCTCAGCCTCCTGAGTAGCTGGGATTACAGGCACGCGCCACCATGCCCAGCTAACTTTTTGTATTTTTAGTAGAGACGGGGTTCCACCATGTTAACCAGGATGGTCTCGATCTCTTGACCTCGTGATCCACCCGCCTCAGCCTCCCAAAGTGCTGGGATTACAGGCTTGAACCACTAAGCCCGGCTTTTTTTTTTTTTTTTTTTTTTTTTGAGATGGAGTTTCGCTCTTGCTACCCAGGCTGGAGTGCAATGGCGCGATTTCGGTTTACCGCAACCTCCACCTCCTGGGTTCAGGCAATTCTCCTGCTCAGCCTCCTGAGTAGCTGGGATTAAAGGCACGTGCCACCATGCCCAGCTAATGTTTTGTATTTTTAGTAGAGACGGGGTTTCACCATGTTGACCAGGATGGTCTCGATCTCTTGACCTCATGATCCACCCGCCTCGGCCTCCCAAAGTGCTGGGATTACAGGCATGAGCCACCACGCCCGGCCCCGGTGAAACCCTGTCTTTACGTATTTTGAAATTTTTTAGACAGAGTCTCGGTCCAGGCTGGAGTGCAGTAGTGTGCTCTGGGCTCACTGCAACCTCTGCCTCTGGGGTCAAGCAATTCTTGTGCGTCAGCCTCTCAAGTAGCTGGGATTACAAGTGCGGGCCATCACGTCTGGCTTTTTGTATTTTAGTAGAGATAGGGTTTCACCATGTTGGCCAGAGTGGTCTGGAACTCTGGCCTTAGGTGATCCCCCCGCCTCGGCTTCCCAAAGTGCTGGGATTACAGGTGTCAGCCACTGCATCCGGCCACAAACAAATATTTTAATTTAAAAAATTAGCCAGTCATGGTGGCATGCACCTGTGGTCCCAGCTAAGGAGGCTGAGGCAGGAGGAAAACATGAAAGTGCTAACCCCAATTAGAGCAGCCCTAAATTGAGACTCGCTCTTGTATATTAGCAGCATTAAAGAAGAAAAATTGGGCCGGGCGCGGTGGCTCCAGCCTGTAATCCCAGCACTTTGGGAGGCCGAGGAGGGTGGATCACGAGGTCGAGAGATCGAGACCATCCTGGTCAACATGGTGAAACCCCGTCTCTACTAAAAATACAAAAAACTAGGCCGGGCGGGTGGCTCAAGCCTGTAATCCCAGCACTTTGGGAGGCCGAGGCGGGTGGATCACGAGGTCGAGAGATCGAGACCATCTGGTCAACATAGTGAAACCCCGTCTCTACTAAAAATACAAAAAAAAATTAGCTGGGCATGGTGGCGCGTGCCTGTAATCCCAGCTACTCAGGAGGCTGAGGCAGGAGAATTGCCTGAACCCAGGAGGCGGAGGTTGCGGTGAGCCGACATCGCGCCATTGCACTCTAGCCTGGGTAACAAGAGCGAAACTCCGTCTCAAAAAAAAAAAAAAAAAAAAAGAAGAAAAAGAAAAATTGGAAACTTGTGTGTTTTCCACCATCTGATTCAGTTAATTAGCGTCCAGTCCCTGCATCTTGTGAAATTACATCAGATGTCCCCAAGGGGCACTATTATGCCTTGCTGTATTCATACCTAATCCAGAGACTGACCAGTTGATAATGAAACCAGTACTCTCTTTAATGGCCATTTTAACAGTTCAAACAGTTTGGTAGTATTCTTTTCGTTCTACAAATGAAGAAAGTCTGGGAGCTGAAGTTGACGCAGGGTCGGTCAGCAATCAGCGGAGTTGGGATTCGAACTCCTGTCACAGGCAGAGGGAGGAGGGCAGCCATAGCCACGCCCTCTGGTTCCCACCAGCTCGCAGGCTCGGAGTAAGTGCGCATGCTCAGAGAGCCTCGTCGCACTTGCTGAGCGAGACCGCAGGGACGCCTCCAGCCACCAGGGGGAGTGCGCGCGGTTCTTGCCTCTCTGGCCCGCGCATCCTGAGCCTAGTAGATATCCCAGAGTTCAGCGCGGCGCCAGCCCTTCCGCCACAGTCGCCATTGTAGAGGAGCAGGTGAGTGGGATCCCGTACGGCGGGGATCCGCCGCCATCCGTACTCCCGGGTTCTCTGCGGGTTGGAGGATGGTTGGTTGTGGCAAGCGAGGCTGAAGGGAACGGGGCGCTGGGTTCTGGACCTCGGGAACCGAATCGGGACTCAACCTCCGCCCCTTCTCCCCACCGCTGTCAGCAGCCATGGCTCTTCGGTATCCTATGGCCGTGGGCCTCAACAAGGGCCACAAGGTAACCAAGAACGTGAGCAAGCCCAGGCACAGCCGCCGCCGCGGGGTAAGTGAGGGGGCCCCGTGGAGGTCATCGGGGGCTTCTTCGAGGGCAGAGGGCACGGCTTGGGCAAAGGCTATCGGCGTGAAGGAACGCGGGTTGGCGCGCGGAACTAAGCGGGGCTTGAATGGAAGGGACGGTGTGGGGGAGTGGGGGTTCTGGGGTTTCCCTGCCCGTGCAATTCACGCCAGGGAACCGGGAGCAATTTGAGGGCGGTCCGGGACAGTGGATTTGAGGTTCTGACGCTTGAGTAGGAGTTGCCTTGTGGAGCTGGCCCGAGGCTGCGGTGTGTGAGGTTGGGGGATTTCAGGTGCGTCCGTGAATTCGGCTCCTTTATTAAGCGGGCAGCCCCGACTCCAGGTGCGTCCTGCAGGTGGTGCAGAGATTGCGACGTGGGGAGGATGGGAGCTGCTCTGCGCGCCGTGGCCCACGCCTGTAATCCCAGCACTTTGGGAGGCCGGGGCAGGCGGATCACGAGCTGGGGAGTTTGAGACAAGTCTGACCAACATGGTGTAAACCCCGTTTCTATAAAAATAAAAAAATTACCCGGGCATGGTAACGCGCGCGCGAGGCGGAGGTTGCAGTGAGCCGAGACCCACGCCACTGCACTCCAGCCTGTATGACAGAGTGAGACTCCGTCTCAAAACAAGAAAAGCCCCAAGGGTTAATATTTCGGTTCTCACAGCTACCCAGAGAGCTCAGCTCACTGCAACCTCCGCCTCCGGGGTTCCAGCGATTCTTGTGCCTCAGCCTCCCCAGTAGCTGGGATTACAGGTGCGTGTAACCACGCCTGGCTTTTTTATTTTTAGTAGATACGAGGTTTCACCATGTTGGCCGGGCTGGCCTCAAACTCCTGGCCTTAGTGAATCCCCGCCTCGGCCTCCCCAAAGTGCTTAGATAACAGGCCTGAGCCACTGCACCTGGCCACGAACAATTTTGTTTTGTTTTGTTTTGAGACGGAGTTTTCGCTCTTGTTACCCAGGCTGGAGTGCAATGGCGCGATCTCGGCTCACGGCAACCTCCGCCTCCTGGGTTCAGGCAATTCTCCTGCCTCAGCCTCCTGAGTAGCTGGGATTACAGGCGTGTGCCACCATGCCCAGCTAATTTTTTGTATTTTTAGTAGAGACGGGGTTTCACCGTGTTGACCAGGATGGTCTCGATCTCTTGACCTCGTGATCCACGCGCCTCGGCCCCCCAAAGTGCTGGGATTACAGGCGTGAGCCACCGCGCCCGGCAGTGTCGATTTCTTGACCTCGAGATCTACCTGCCTTGGCCTCCTAAAGTGCTGGGATTATAGGCGTGAGCCACCGCGCCCGGCCCCCTTTTTTGAGCTGGAGCTCTGGTGCCCATGCTGGAGTACAGTGGTGCAGTCTCGGCTTGCTGCAGCCTCACCTCCTGGATTCAAGCGATTCTTCTGCCTCAGCCTCCCGCGTAGTTCGGACTACAGGCGTGCTCCACCACTCGGCTTATTTTTGTGTTTTTAGTAGAGATGGGGTTTCACCATGTTTGCCAGACTGGTCTTGAACTCCTGACCTCAAGTCATCCACCCACCTCGGCTTCCCACAGTGCTGGGATTACAGGTGTCAGGCACTGCACTGAACCACAAACAAGATTTTATTTTATTATTTTATTTATTTTATTTTAAGAGACAGGTTTTCACCGGCCGGGCACGGTGGCTCAAGCCTGTAATCCCAGCACTTTAGGCGGCCGAGGCGGGTGGATCACGAGGTCGAGAGATCGAGACCATCCTGGTCAACATGGCGAAACCCCGTCTCTACTAAAAATACGAAACATTAGCTGGGCATGGTGACACGTGCCTGTAATCCCAGCTACTCAGGAGGCTGGGGCAGGAGAATTGCCTGAACCCAGGAGGCGGAGGTTGCGGTGAGCCGAGATCGCGCCATTGCACTCCAGCCTGGGTAACAAGAGCGAAACTCCGTCTCAAAAAAAAAAAATGGTTTCCCCATATTGGTCAGGCTGGTCTCGAACTCCAAACCTCAGGTAATCTGCCCGCCTTGGCCTCGCAAAGTGCTGGGACTACAGGTGTGAGCCATCGCACCCAGCCAAACAAGTATTTTAATTAAAAAATTAGTCAGGCATGGTGGCACCTGTGGTCCCAGCTAAGGAGGCTGAGGCAGGATGATCACCTGAGCCCTGGAAGTCAAGGGTGCAATAAGCTATGATTGCAGCACTGCACACCAGCCTAGGCGACGGGCCACCACACCGGGGAGAGTGGCCAGGGAAATAGTGACAGCATAAGGGATTAAGCTGCTTACCTAGAATGCAGGGGGTCCCCCCACCCTAACGGCTGGCTCTTGCCACCCCCTGCCAGCGTCTGACCAAACACACCAAGTTCGTGCGGGACATGATCCGGGAGGTGTGTGGCTTTGCCCCATACGAGCGGCGTGCCATGGAGTTGCTGAAGGTCTCCAAGGACAAACGGGCCCTCAAGTTCATCAAGAAAAGGGTAGGTGGGCACTCTGGTGGAGGGGCGATGTGGGAGTTGCAGGTGGGCTGAGTGACCCCCTATCCCTGGCAGGTGGGGACACACATCCGGGCCAAGAGGAAGCGGGAGGAGCTGAGCAACGTCCTGGCTGCCATGCGGAAAGCTGCTGCCAAGAAAGACTAAGCCCGTCCCCTGCTGTCTCCTGAAATAAACAGCTGCGCCCAAGCCCTGGCTCTGTTGCTGTCCTGGGGTAGGGGAGGTCCTTTAAGCATCTGTTTGGTGCCCAAGCCCTGGCCCACCCTTCCTGGGGCAGCAGGCAAGGAGGCCCCATACTGGAAATTACTTTAATGATTAAATAGTTCCTATGCCACACTGATTAAAGTGACTGGGGGGGTCCTTGGGATCTGGGCCGCTGGGCCGAGCTACTTGCTCGGTGGCTCCTCTGCCAGGCCCTGCTGCACTCCCGGAAGGGCTCAGTTCGGGCCCAGGTAAGGGCCTGACATCTGCTGCCTGCGGTCCTGCTGTGACCGTCACCGCTCCACGGCCACCGCCTCTGCCTGCTCCTCCGGGAAGGCGATGTCGAAGATCTGGTGGTAGTGCTCCACAAAGTGCACCTCCAGGCCCTCGGTGATGAAGCCTGCCAGGTCGTAGAAGTCCTTCTTGTTCTCAGCTGGCAGGACAATGCACGTCACCCCTGCGCGCTTGGCCTGGGGGCAGAGTCAGGATCAGCCCTGCCTGGGCCTAGAGGAGGGCCGCCGGTGTGCGTCCTCCAGGAAGGGAAGGGCTGCATGGGGACCGGGGACACTGATGCCAGCTTGAAGCAGTGGCTCCTGAAAACCACCATCTCGGGATCCTTATTTCCCGGGGAAACAGGCTCAAGGCAAAACCACTGGCCTCGGCTCCAGAAGCCTGCGGTCGTCCCCAGCCCGTGACCCAGGAAGTCTGGCCATGCAGGGGGAGCAGTTTCACCTCCGAGGGCAGGCAGAGTCCATGGCCTCATGCCAGCACTTCCCACTGTCCACACACGCTGGGGCAGGGGCAGTGAGCCTCCCAGTTAGCCCCCACCACTTTTATGACCTAGGGAGTGTGTGGCTGGTGTCCAGGTGGTCATAGCCACTTGACCATGCCTACCCGCCTGGCAGAATCCCATCAGAAGGACCCGAGCAGGCTTCCTAGCCACACGGCAGGTTGGTCTGAGGACACCCAGGGCTGGGAGTGAAGAGCAGCCCAAACCTTGGGCCTGTGTCCAGTCTGTCCCTCAGCGCAGCCTGCAGCACAGGAAGCAGGAGCCCTGCTCCCCACTCCAAACGCTACTGGGGAAGCCAGTGGGCTCTAGAATGTTCTCCACAAGAGGATGTGGAGGAGACAGCTAGAGCAGTCAGCTGTAGGCCACATGGGCCTGGGTGCAGAGCCCAGGGCTTCCCCGACTGCGCAGTCCAGCCCGTGTGCTTACCGCGATGGTCTTCTCCTTGATGCCGCCGACAGGCAGGACCTTGCCTGTGAGGGAGACCTCGCCCGTCATGGCCAGGTTCTGCCGGACAGGCCTGCCCATGGCCAGGGACAGCAGGGCCGTGACGATGGTGCAGCCTGCGCTTGGGCCGTCCTTGGGGGTGGCACCCTGCGGGGGGATGTGGGGGGGAAGTTGGTGAGCAGGTGGCCAGCTGCCCAGAGCCTGGGTGGGGGCGGGCGCGGCAGTCACCTCAGGCACATGCAGGTGGATGTGTGAGGTCACCAGGTACTCGTTGTCAGGGGCGTGCTGCATGAGGAAGGCCCTGGCGAAGGTGTAGGCGATGCGGGCGCTCTCCTTCATCACCTCCCCGAGCTGGCCTGTCACCTCCAGGCTGCCATCCTTTTCACCCTTGCCATCCTTGTCCCGCGGCCGCCTCAGGGATGTCTCCACAAACAACGTGGAGCCTCCTGGACCGGGGGCAGAGCTGTGAACACGGGAGGCCTCAGGGCCCGGGCCCACTCCACCCCCAGCTCAGCATCTTGGCACCTCTGGGCAGGGGCTGTGGCCCATCATGAGCCAACGAAGGCCTCCATGTTTGCTGTGTGGCAGGTTCCTGGCTCAGTCTGCCCCACAGCGCAGCCCCCAGCAGCTGCCAGCCAGAGAACATGCCCAGGGCCACAAGGACCCCAGCTGCCCTGCTCAGACACACAAGCCCCTCTCCAGCCGCTCCCGCACCGCCCCCCTGCCCTCTCACCAACTTTCTGCGTGGTAGCCCCAGGGGCCCGTATCTGGATGAGCTCATGCTGAGAGACCCGTTGTCCCCACCTGTGAGCCTATCCAGGTGTCCCCCCAAATCCCTAAGGCCCATGGTGTGCCGCCCTTGTGCTCACAGCCTTCCGCTCTGTCAGCCCGAGAGTCCTCTGGGCTCCCCACACCGCCCCCCCGCCAGAAGCCCTCCAACTGCACCCCTGCACGAGGTGGGACCCGTTTGTTCTCTGGTAGAAATGGGACCGACTTGGGGTCTCCTCCCGCCACCACACTCACCCATGGCTGTCCAGGCCAGCCCCATGACCACTCCGGGCGGCGTCACGTCGTACATGCGTTCCACGGTGAACACGGGCTTCCCCACAAAGTCCTGCAGGTTCTCGGGCGTCACCTCCACGGACTCGGCCTCGCCGCTGACGATCTTGTAGGCCGACTTCCGCAACACCTGTGTGGGCAAGGCGGCACAATGGGCTTGGGAACGTGCGCTGGGCGGAAAGGTGCCAGGAGGCGGGGTGGCCACTCACCTTCTCCACCTGCTTCTGCAGGTTGCGGACGCCGCTCTCGCGGCAGTACTGCTTGATGAGCAGTGTCAGCACGTCCGACGACAGCTTGGCCTTGCTCTCGTCCAGGCCACATAGGGCGCGGGCCTGGGGTACCAGGTAACGCTGCAGGGGCAGCTGGCTGTCACGGTTGGATCTGGAGGGACCTGGCCCACCAGCCCAGTCTAGAACCTGGGGACCCTGGACAGGAGCCAATGCCTGTTGCATGGGCCCCAGACCCTGGCCTGGCACAGGTCCCCGATGGTGAAACCAGGACCTGGGATACCCGGCCCTGCCACCCAGCATGTCCAGAGGTGCTGGGCCTTTGTGCTGTGTCCTCTGCTTGGATCCACGTCCTATTCCCCAATGGCATCTTAGATGCCATTTCCGCCAGGAAGGCCTCCTGGTTGCCCCTGGGCTGGCCCCAAACACAGACCCAGGGCCTGTACAGTAGCTGACTGGTTAGGTGGCTGCCGCCCTCCACAGGAGGAGGAGGACTGGGGTGGGGGCGGGCTCCAAGGTCACCTGCAGACCCCCATAATTCTTGCCACAGTTCTGAGCTCTGGCAGCAGGGGGAGAGCATCTGAGAGACAAGATAGGCCCATGCATACCACTCTACACCTGCCCCTGATGCTGGGGGGCACTCCTGGTGCTCTGAGGGGTCCCCATGCATGCCCCTCCCCTCCTGTCCCCACGAACTACAGGCCTGCCCCTTGGGAAGTCAGGCTGGGATCTAGGCCCAGCAGTGGGCACGGAAGCCTCAGGGGACACAGGAAGCTGGGAAGGCCCTGAGGGCCGGGACCAGTGCCCAGCACAGGTTGTCAAAGGGCTCCCGGGGAAAGGCCCTCCTCTACCCCTTCCCAGAAAGAAAACACATCAAATACAGGAGCCCTCCACCCCCCAGGAATGGACCTCGCAGGCTCCTCAGTGAAACCCCTCCTCCTCTAAGTCTCATTCTGCGTGGGAACCTCAGCTCACACTGCTGCCAGGCTGCCAGAAACCTTCCCTACAGTCTGGGCCTGGGGTGGGGCAGGGTCCTCCCTAGACTGGACACAGACTTGGCTTCTAAGAAGTGCAGGTGGGGGCCCTGCCCTGGAAGACCAAGTGTGTATGCGCTGACAGCTGACGGCTGTGTGGGACGGTCCCGGGCTCTAAAGCCTGCGCCAGCCCTGCAGCTGTTCCCAGGTGTCCGCCTCGGCCTGTCTGCTCCTCTTGGCCGCAGTCCCACCGGTCCCTACCAGGCACGGGAGCTCCTAGAGGCCCAGGCTGTGGGGTCAGCCCATGCTCCAGGGATGGGGACAGCAGTGGGGAGGGGCTGGCCTACCTCTGCGATGGCCAGCTTCTCCTGGGCCACGTAGCCGGACACGTTGATCATCTCCATGCGGTCCCGCAGTGGCTCAGGGATGGTGTCCGTGACGTTGGCTGTGCAGATGAACAGCACCTGGGGGCGGCAGCAAGGTCCTAAGGGACTGGCCTGTCACCCTCCCCCCAGCCCAGGCCCCAGGCCAGGCCCCACCTTAGACAAGTCCACAGGCACGTCCAGGTAGTGGTCCAGGAAGTTGGCGTTCTGCTCTGGGTCCAGCAGCTCCAGCAGCGCTGACGAAGGGTCCCCCTGGTAGCCCCGGCCAATCTTGTCCACCTGGGGCGGCAGATGACAGGTGGTGCTGGCCACAGCATGCCCCTCACCAGCCCGCCCAGTGGGGAGACCCCAGGGTCAGGGCTGGGGATACCCGGAGTCAGAACAGCACCCACGCCCTGGGCCTTGGACGGGCAGCTTGCTGGGTATGGCTGTGGGTGGGAGGTACCCATCCTTGCCATCAGGGCCAGCATCACGGTGACCGCCCCTGAGGTGACTTGGGGATCTTGGGACCCGGAGGGCTCCGGGCTTTATCCTGTACCCAGCATTGCCTGGTCAGGGCCGCTAGGGGCTCTGGGTTAGGAAGGCAAAGGGCACCAGGCACAGCCCAGGGAGAGAGGCAGGGCATCCCCTCCACACACACCTCATCGATGAGGACCAGGGGGTTCTCCGTCTTGGTCTTCTTCAGACACTGGATGATCTTCCCGGGCATAGCGCCCACGTAGGTCCGCCTGTGGGAGCACAGCAGGGTCAGAGTCACCCAGTAGCCCCACTCGGCCATGACAACACCATGCACCCTTCAGGGCCGTGGGGTGAGGCCACCTGGACAGCCACAAGATGTGGCCACAGGGGTGCTGGGCATGCAGCCACCAGGTGTGTGGCACCCGCGGGCACACTGGTCACTCACCAGACTTGTGTGCAGGAGAACTATTCTGGGGGCACCAATTCACAGCCAGCTCTCAGTGCCATCCCTCAACTGGCACCTCCTACCCATAGTAAAGGCCAGCCTGAGGCCTCCCACCCACAGAAAGGCGGGGGACTGGGGCCAGCCAGGCACGGGCAGAAGGCCCCCCCACCCACTAAGGAATGGCAGGCGCGCCCGGGCCACGGCCAGCACTGGCTCAGATGGCTTCTTGCAAGCTCCATTCTCTGCCCCTGAACAGGAGGCCCGGCAGGCAGGGGCCGGTGAGGAAGGCTCTGTGTGCAGGATGAAGACACAGGGAGGCAGGGATGGAGGGGCTCAGACGCCACTGGCATGTGTGTGCCACTTTAAGTGTGCAGAGGGCAAGGAGTGGCGGAAAGCAAAGCAAGTGAGGAGGGAGCCACGTGGAGTTCTGGGGGCGTGTTCCAGGCCCAGGACACAGCCTGTGCAAAGGCCCCAAGGCAGGACCACGCTTGATGGGCTGCGGAACAGTGAGGAGGCAGTAAGGCTGGGGGTGGAAGGGAGAGGAGAAGGGATAGAAGGAGGGGGAGGAGAGGGAAAGGGGGGGAGAGAATAAGGGAGGGGGAGGAGGAGGTGGGACAGGTCGTGCACGGCCTGTGGGCTGCCGTGTGAGCGCCCTGGAGAGCTGTGGGCAGAGAAGGGTTTTGCTGCCGTCAACAGTGATCCATTTCCCTGCAGTCTACTGTCCTTGTCCTTGGTCAGGAACCCAGAGACGTCAGCACTGACGCCTGCCCTAGCCTGCCCTCCCAGCAGCCCCGATCCCTGGTGACTCTCTCCCAAAGCTGGAGGGGGCTGAGGCTGGTTCAGAACCCGGCCAGGTCTCTCCCCTTGCAATCGGTGGCCCCTGCCGGCACCTCTGGCCATCCCTCCTGAACCAAGGCCCAGGAGGCCTCAGGACCACCTCAAACCCATGCCTAGAAAGGACTGGGTGCCCTCCGCATCCCTCCACTTTCACCCAGCTGCTCCTTCCTGCTCAGACCCCACCCCTTCATCCTCCAGGCCCCCACTCCTCCTGGGCAATCTGGGACCTCCAACCCTGCGCTAGCTCCAGCTCCTCCCAACTCCCAGCTGGTGACAGTGGCCGCCCCTGGGGACTGGACAGAGTGTGCAACCTCACAGAGGGCGGGCAGACCCAGGAAGGCCTGGGGCCGGAGTTGGGGATGTTTCTAAGGAAGCCAAAAATGTTCACTTTAAACACAGACTCAACTGAACGCCTTGCAAGATGGGAACAGGTGGCAGACTCAGCAGACACCTCACACTCGGCTCTCACTGGGGCCACAGTTCTGTCTACAGAGGCAGGCGAGGAGGGAAGCCCTAGAAAAGCCGCGCCTGGCTGCCCACCCGAAGGGCCAGGTGGGAAGGCGCCGGACAGAGAGGGCCGTGGCCACTGCTCTGGGCCCAAGGCCAGCCGGGAGGAGTGAGTCCACAGAGGCGACAAGGTTTCTCTGGGTGCACAGCCTGGTCCTCACTGGAGACTCTCTCCCAAATGCCCACAGGCTTCAAGTGGGGCCGACGCCACCGCCAATCCCAGGGCATCAGCTGCCGCAGCCCACACAGACCAGTACCTGCATGGCAAACGGGCCTGCAGCTCTGGCTGGGGCATTGTAGGGACTGAGCTAGAGGTACCGGGATCGTCTGCTGAGCGCTGGCCCGGGTGCAGATTCCACCAGCGCCGTTTGAGCGCCTGAAATCAGCCAGGCCTGAAGTCCGCTGCATGCCTGGACTTTTCAGTTACTGCGGTGTGAGTGGAACTGCTTGCCCACAACCCAGACTGCTCTAACAGACGCTAATGGGTGCCCCGGAGACAATGGAGCCCGGCAGCACAGCAGTGGCGAGCGCGCGAGGACGGCCGTCAGGGCCGGGCCTACCTGTGCCCCTTGATCTCAGCCACATCCGTCATGCCCCCAACACTGAAGCGGAAGTACTCTCGGTTCAGGGCGCGGGCGATGGAGCGGGCAATGCTGGTCTTGCCGACGCCAGGGGGCCCGTAGAAGCAGAGGATCTTGCCCTGGGTGGAGCCTCGGAGCTGGCTGACGGCGATGAACTCCTGTGGACAGAGGCGGGCTCGGTGGGCACGTGGGCTGGACGGACCGGGGCCCGGGCATGACTCTCGCCACGTGCATGCTGCCTTTCAGACATCTGAGGGCTGAGAAGGGACCAGGACTGTCCAGGAGGCTGAGTGAATCAGAGCTGCCATTGGCCGCGGGGAGGGGCAGCCTGTGACAACGGCTCCAACAGGACACCTAGGTGCCAGGAGAGTGTGGCCGCCCAGCAGGGCCAGGCCTGTTCGGCTCCTCAGCTCCTAATGGGTTCCCTTCCCCAGGACCCTGAAACCACAAGTGCTCCCCACTCTCCACTCCAACCCTGAGAGGCAGGGCACCCCCTCCCCTCTGCCCCATGCCTTGCAATTCTGTCATCAGTTGCTGACTCCCACCTGCTGCTTTCTACGGTCTCAGGAGTGACATTTTAACAATTAGTTTAAAATAATTTTCAGACAGGGTCTTGCTCTGTTGCCCAGGCTGGAGTGTAGTGGCATCATCATAGCTCACTGCAGCCTCAACCTCCCAGGCTCAAATAATCCTCCCACCTAAGCCTCCCAAGGAGCTGGGATTATGCACATGTACCACCACACCCGGCTAATTTTTAAATTTTTTTGTAGAGATGGGGTCTCTGTCACCCAGGCTGATGTCCAGTGCCATGATCACAGCTCACTGCAGCCTCAACTTCCTGGGCTCAAGTGATCCTCCCCCCTCAGCCTCCTGAGTAGCTGGGAGCACAGGCAGCCCCGCCACTCCCGGCCAATCAGGCATGAGTTGAGCCGGCCTGGGAAATCCTCCAGCCCCCAGTAGCGGGGCACGATGCTCCGTCCCTGCCCGGTTCCCCCCACACCATCCTTATCCCCGGCAGGCCCCCACCAGCACCCCCAGGCCTACCAGTTCCCCAGGAGGCTCCTTTGAAATCTCAACCCACAGCGCGCGGAGCCCCGCCCACAGCAGGCCCGAGCGGGCCTCACCAGGACGCGCTTCTTGACGTCCTCCATGCCGTAGTGGTCTTCCTCCAGCACTGCCTGGGCCCGGGCCAGGTCCAGGTTCTCGTCGCTGTACTTGCCCCAAGGGATGGACGTGAGCCAGTCTAAGTAGTTCCGGGTGACGCTGCCACAGGACAGACGAGAGATGCTTAGCGGCGCTCAGGAGCCGCCCTGCCTCTGCTGTGCCTGGCTGGGGCTTCAAACCACGTGGGGCCGAGCGCGATGGCTCTCGCCTGTAATCGCAGCTCTTTGTGAGGCCCAGGCAGGAGGATCGCTTGAGCCCACGTTCAAGACCAGCCTGGGCAACTCAGCGAGACCCCCATCTCTATAAAGCAATGTACAAATTGCCCTGTCCAGGCACCCGGTCAGGAGAGCCGAGACAGCACTGGCTTCTGCCTGGGGCTGGGTGAGCAGGACCACAGAGGGCACGAGGCCTGACCCAGGGCTGGTGGGGAAACAGAGGCCAGGTCCCCTGTCGGGAGAGTGAGGCTGCCAGAGGGAAGGGCAACTCCATACTGGCCCCTGAGCTGGGAGCCGAGCAGCCACCGTGGGCCGGGAACAAGTCAGCGAGGGCTGCAGGGGCACAGGGCGGGGCACAGGGCGGGAGGAGGAGGAGGACGGCCAGGTGCGCCCATGAGCAGGCACTGCCAGGGCGTACCGCCACCAGGCTGGCATACGAGACACACCAGGACAGGCCAGCTGGGCCACGCGGATGCTGGAGGTGACTTTAGGGGCACACAGAGTCCCTGTGGAAGCGATGTAGGTAGGTGCAACACTTTGCAGAGAATGTTCTGGATCGGGGAGGCAGCTGGTGGCCTGCTGCAGGCATCTTGGTAAGATGCAGACACTACGGGCCTGTCCGCTGTGGCTCCCCAGGACCCAAGGACAGAACCCACCTTACAGACTCGCTGAGTTCCTGGGGGAGGGAGCTATTTGCTTCTGCAGGACAAGGCCTGGCCTGAGCAGGTATTTCCACCAGGCCTGAGGGGGACCGAGTTGCTCATTGGGAGACACAAGGACCCCAAAACACTGACATCCTCCTCCACATGCGGCGGCAGCACAGGCCCCTCACACAGCAGATGGGACTCATTCAAAGTCCCCGAGACGGGAGAGTATCCTGGGTGACCCGGGGGGCCAGGGTCCTCATGAGAGGCGGTGGGAGGTCAGAGACAGACTGGAAGAGACTGTGCTGTGGCTGTGGAGGAGGAAGGGGTCCCAAGCCAAGGGACGCACCGGCCCACAGCCGGATCTCAGGGCTCCACCCTGTGTAAGCCGCTAAACCAGGTGTCCCCAAACTTTTTACACAGGGGGCCAGTTCACTGTCCCTCAGACCGTAGGAGGGCCGCCACATACTGTGCTCCTCTCACTGACCACCAATGAAAGAGGTGCCCCTTCCTGAAGTGCGGCGGGGGGGGGGGGGGGGGGGGGGCGGGATAAATGGCCTCAGGGGGCCGCAGTTTGGGGACGCCTGCCTAAGCTATGGCCCTGTCGGAGCAGCAGCGGGAGCTCACAGGCTGCACACAGAAGTCGGGGTGTGCTGGGAGAGGAGCCACAACAACCAGCACCTTGAAGGGCTGTTGGGAAAGAGACTCCAGCAACCCCCTGACATTTGAAGCCAACTTGGGGTCCTGGCCCAGCAGCCAGGAGGAAAAATCATGCCTTCCCTGTAAGCACTGTCCTAGCCTGCCTAGCCTGCCCTGGGGATGTCTCCTGCCTAGAGGCTGCCCTGGTGTGGCACCTGGTCCTGGACTGAAGCTGTCGTCGGAAGTGGCTGGGGGGTTCTGGCCTGGCTGGACGAGGGTACAGCTGAAATGACCTCAGAGGTACCCGAGCCCCTGGAACCTGAGCGGCCACCATGACCATGACTCACAGCATGCCTGAGACAGCGGCCCCTGGGAAGGCCAGCATCCCGGGAAGGCATGGTCACTTCCTGGCTGACTCTCAAAGGGGAGCGGAAGCAAGAGGTAGCCTTGGAAAGACAGCCATGGGGACTCCTGGTCCTGCTGAGAAGCCCTGGCTCAGGCTCGGTGCAGCGGCTCACGCCTGTAATCCCAAAACATTGGGAGGCCAATGCGGGCACATCACTTGAGGTCAGGACTTTGAGACCAGCCTGGCCAACATGGTGAAACTCTGTCTCTACTAAAAATACAAAAAGTTAGCCAGGAGTGGTGGTGGGTGCCCGTAATCCCAGCTACTCAAGCGGCTGAGGCAGGACAACTGCTTGAACCTGGGAGGTGGTGGGTGCCTGTAATCCCAGCTACTCAAGAGGCTGAGGCAGAATTGCTTGAACCTGGGAGGTGGTTGCAGTGAGCCAAGATTGCGCCACTGCACTCCAGCCGGGACAAATGAGCAAGACTCTGTCTCAAAAAAAAAAAAAGAAAGAAAAAAGAAAAAAAAAAGGTAGGACTAGCTTAGAGCCAGGAGTCCCTGGGTTCAAATCCCTGGCACCACCTAGCAGCTCGGAGGCCCCGGACACCAACTCGATAGCCCTGAGCCTGGATTTCCTTGTAAAATGGAGGTGGCGATGACGTGTCCTGCCCAGGGACAGGATTGACACTCCTCAGGCACCTCCTGGCCCACCACCAAGCACCTGCCATACAGAAGGTGCCACAGGGCTCTCCCACCGGGTCCCCTGGCCTGCTCAAGACGGGGGCTGAGGCGGGGTCGACCTCAGGGCGGGGCCGCCCGGGCCTGGCACTCACTTGAATTCCGAGGAGTGGTTGTCCAGCAGGCCCAGCTTGCTGAGCTCCTCGTCCACCACGTCCATCACGTGCTTGGGGACCACAAGCTCCTTCAGCCGTTCCCGGAACTTCTCCTCGATGGCGTCCTTGTCATCCTTCTCCAGGCCCAGCTCCTTCTTGATGATCTTCAGCTGCTCCTGCAGCAGGTACTTCCGGTGGGTCTGCTTGATCTTCTCCTCCACCTGTGGGCCGAGGCGCCGCTGTCAGGCCTGGCATGGGAAGGTGAGGGCGTGCATCCCCGGATGAGTGGGGACCCTCTGCTCCCCAAGGACTCAGAGAAAAGAAATGAAACCCAGGGCACAAAGCCTTTGGTTTTTTTTTTTTTTGAGATAGGATTTCCTCTGTTGCCCAAGCTGGAGTGCCAAGCTGCCATCACAGCGTCAACCTCCCGAGTAACTGGGACCACAGGCACCGGCCACCACACCTGGCTCTAATTTTAAAACTTTTTGTAGAGATGGGGCTGGGCATGATGGCTCACGCCCATAATCCCAGCACTTTCGGAGGCCGAGGCAGGTGGATCACTTGAGCCCAGGAGTTCCAGACCAGCTTGGCCAGCATGGTGAAACTGTCTCTACTAAAAGCACAAAAATCAGCTGGGTGTGGTGCTCACTCGCCTATAATTCCAGCTACTTGGGAGGTTGGGGTGGGAGGATCCCCTGTGCCCCAGAGACAGAGGCTGTAGTGAGCTGAGATGGTGCCACCGCACTCCAGCCTGGGTGGCAGATGGAGACCCTGTCTCAAAGTCAAAAATTCCAAGAAATGCCACGACCGTGAAGTGACTGACCATCATGCAGACTGGTCTGCTGAAATCAGGAGCCTCAATGGCTGGGTCTCAACAAGCAGCATCTTCACTTTTCCCAGGCTGGTTCCCGATTTCCAACACTGTCCCCCAGATCACCAAGGCAGAGGAATTCCTCCCTCGACGGAGGGTGGTCCTGACACTGCCCCACACTGGGCTCATCACACTGGGACCAGCTTTAAGCTCCTCTGTTCAACGCGGAGTTTCACGGCTCAGAATGACAGAGTGGCTGATGGCACGAAGCCCTCAGAACCCAGACAGGCCTTCTCTGCTGGCCCTGGCTGATGCCACCTGTCCCTCCACGCGCTCCAGAGCCTGCCTGATGCCATGTGGCCTGGGAAGGCCCCTAAGAGTGGCTGTGTCCCAGCCCGGGGCTCACCTCCCGCCCCAGGCGCTGCTGCAGCTTGCTCAGTTCAAATTCCTTCTTCAGCAGGGACAGGGCTTTGTACAGCCGCTTGGGAATCTGCCGAAACAGGGAGGACCGAAAGGATGAGCAGACGCGGTGCCTGTGCGCCCAGGGCCGGGTGGGTAGAAGGTGCGCCCTGAGGTGCTGCTGGCGGATCCCACGCTGGAAATGCACCCTACGGGCACCATGCGAGGGGGCGCTCTCAGGAGTGCTGCTCACCACAGCAAAAGACTGGTGACCCCCCCGAGTACTCGGCCCAGAGGATCCCACCGAACGTGCGGCGGTGACTAGCGACCGAAGGCTCTGAAGCTGCCGAAAGGCAATAGCCTGACGGATGTGGACCAAGGCATGCCGGTGACCGGAAACCATCTCAGAAACAGCCAGGGACACGCCGCGGGGGTGAATGGTGCACAGTGGAGGGGTGAGGGCAGCCAGGCATGGGGGAGCTGAGGAGGAGTGGGGGCCACCCGGCATGGGCAGGGCACAGTGGAGGTGGGGACAGCCAGGTGCGGATGGGGCACAGCCGAGGGGTGGAGCCGCTGGGCCCAGCCAGGGCACAGCGGAGGTGGGGGGCGCTCACGTTGGTCTCCTCCAGGACGTCCTGCAGCTCGTGGGACTCAGCCCCAGTAAGCGCAGCACCCATGTCACTCAGGTAGATGGGGTTGTCAACCACCCGCTGGCCGGCCTGCATCATCTGCAGCACCGACTCCCTGGGGGACAGAGGGAGCTGCCTCAGTGGCCAGGGCCTCACACTCTGCTGCACTGCTACCCCCGACCAGGACCCGGTCCTCACGGTCCTTGTTCCCCACAGCTGCGGGCAGGGCCTAGGGGTGCTTGCTGGGAGCTAGGTCTGCTGCTTGGTCCCCAGAGTTCAGGGTCCACCCATCCCAGGCTGGAAACGCACGTGGCATACCCACGGGAGCCATGCAGTGACCTCACCTCAGCAGTCTGCTCCCCCTCCCCCTCCCCCAGCCGATGCCAGCCACAGCTTCTGGCCTCAGCAGAAGGGGATGAGGAACCTGGTCTGCTGAGTCGTCCCCAGGCCTCCCACCTGCCCCTCGCCCCAGGGGAAACAGGCTCCTCCATCGCCGCCGCTCCTTAGGCCATGAATCCCTGCCCCATGCAAGCTTTCCTTCCAGGAGGACGCTGAGGAAGCCCCCTGCCCCCCAGCTGCAGAAAGAGCCGCAGAGATGCCCCGCCTGGCCAGCCGCCTGCAGGGGACCCACCTGTAGAGAGGGTTCAAGGCGATGATGTCCCGGATGGTCTTCACGATCTCTGCAGTCAGGGCCTGCCGGGTAGGGGGGCGGGGTCACTGGGGCCCAACAGCGTCCTAGCAGGAGGTGGGCTGGGTGGAGGCGAGGTCCTGGGAGTCCTACCCGCCTGCTGCTCCAGCAACTCCCCACCCACCTGGCCCGGTCACAGATGGCCTCGGACACCGAGGAGTGCAGCCCAGACTCACCAGTCCCAGGGACACAGGACCAAGAGAGTCAAAACTAAAACCAAACCCTGTCTTCTTACCCCTCAGAGCCTTGTCCTTAGGACAAGCTGTCTTGGAGGAAGAAAACACACTGGTTTCTTTCCTTTGCTATTTTTTTTTTTTTTTTTTTTTTTTTGAGACGGAGTTTCGCTCTTGTTACCCAGGCTGGAGTGCAATGGCGCGACCTCGGCTCACCGCAACCTCCGCCTCCTGGGCTCAGGCAATTCTCCTGCCTCAGCCTCCTGAGTAGCTGGGATTACAGGCACGCGCCACCATGCCCAGCTAATTTTTAGTAGAGACGGGGTTTCACCATGTTGACCAGGATGGTCTCGATCTCTCGACCTCGTGATCCACCCACCTCGGCCTCCCAAAGTGCTAGGATTACAGGCGTGAGCCACCGTGCCCGGCCCTTTGCTATTTTTTAAGATAGAGTCCTGCTCTGTCGCCCAGGCTGGAAAGGAGTGGTGCGCTCGTGACTTAATGCAGCCTTGAGTTCTTGGGCTCAAGCGATCTTCCCCCGCTATTTTCTGGAGCAGCTGGGACCACAGGCATGAACAACGCCTGCCTATAACCAGGTTTTAATCATGTGGTCTCAGCTGGGCGAGGTGGCTCACACCTGTAACACCAGCACTTTAGGAGGCCAAGGTGGGAGGATCACTTGAGGTCAGGAGGTTGAGACCAGCCTGGCCAACATGGTGAAACCCCGTCTCTGCTAAAAATACAGAAAAAAATTAGCTGGGCACGGTGGTGGGTGCCTGGAATCCCAGCTGCAGAGGAGGCTGAGGCAGGAGAATGGCTTGAACCCGAGAGGCAGAGGTTGCAGTGAGCCGAGATCATGTCACTGAGCCCCAGCCTGAGTGACAGGGCAAAACTCTGTCTCCAAAAAAAATAAAATGTCATCATCTGGTCTCTAGTCTCTGGTTTTGACCCTGAACTGTCTGAGCTGACCCTGGTAGAAGGCACCAGAACAGGCCTACTGGAGGTCCCAGGCACTTGCTTTGAGAACAAGCTTGCTGCCCCTCAGGGGTCTTGCTAATTCCAATTGCCTGTGTAAGTTAAGTCACAGCCTTCCCCCGCTGACTCTCACAGGGAACTCGAGGGCTGTGCTGCCTGGGACAGTGTAGCCACGATGGCTGGCTGAATTTTTTAATTCATTTTTAGGCAGTCAGTTTCACTCTGTTGCCCAGGCTGGAGTGCAGTGATTCGATCATAGCCCACTGCAGCCTCAACCTCCTGAGGGCAAGCGATCCTCACACAGGCTGGACCACAGGTGTGTGCCAACACGCTCAGCTGATTTTATTTTTTTTGTAGACACAGGAGTTTCAATATTGCCCTGACTGGTCTTGAACTCCTGGGCTCAAATGATCCTCCTTTCCAGGCCTCCAAAAGTGCTGGGATGACAGGCATAAGCCACTGCGCCCAGCCAGAGAAATGCTCCATCTGTTCCTTGGTCACAGTGGCTGTATGTGCTCAATACTGGCAGGTGGCCAGGCGCAGTGGCTCACATCTGTAATCTCAGCATTTCGGGAGGCTGAGGTGGGCAGATCACCTGAAGTTAGGCGTTTGAGACTAGCCTGGCCAACATGATGAAATCTCATCTCTACTAAAAACACAAAAATTAGCTGAGCACGGTGGTATGTGCCTGTAATCCCAGCTACCTGGGAGGCTGAGGCACGAGAATCACTGGAACCTGGGAGGCTGAGGCACGAGAATCACTGGAACCTGGGAGATGGAGGTTGCCATGAGGTGAGATCGCGTCACTGCACTCCATCCTGGGTGACAGGGCCAGACTCTGTCTTAAAAAAAAAAATTTCACAGGGGCAAGTGGGGCAAGCTAACAGTGCTGACCTCAAGAAGCCACACGGGCCTGCGGACAGGACCGTTCACCCCTCCCAGCGCCCATGGCAGACATCACCAGTTGCTCACAGCACTTTCTCCCCAGGCTCTGCAGCGGCCTGGGGAGGAGGCCGACGAGGCCAGGCACACAGGTGAGGAACTGACATGCTTCAGGGTTTGGCTGGCTGTGCTGGTCACCCCTACGGCGGGAGGGCAGGTGGCACCGCCAGGAGCCTGCCCATCTCAGAAGCTGACTCCTTGTGCCACCAGGCAGGCTGGATGGCCTAGGCTGGGGATCAGGGTGGCCAAAAGGCTGTTTCTTGTCCCGCAGCTACAGGTCCCAACTTCCCCTCCCCGACCTCCCGGGCCTCGTGGAACAAAGCCAGGGCTGGAAGGTGTTCTGGTAACTGCTGGAGGCTTCAGCACAGGCGACACGGGCTGGGGCTGGGGCTGGGTTCCAACCCTGCCTCCTTCCTGAACAGCTACCGGCCCCAGTGAATTTCCTGTGCCTCTCCCATCCCAGTGTCTTCCAAACACCTCTGGGAGGAAAAGCTCCCTCTCTGTTCCATTAGAACTGAGTTCCAGACAGGCCAGACCCTGAGGGGCTGCAGGTGGAAGATGACTCTTCCCGGAGAGACCTCGGTAACAGCTCAAGGGAGCCGCCCCACGTGACGCCTGGACTCACTTTCACCTCCTCTGTGACCTGGAAGTCCTCGTGGACGACGTTCTCCACCTCCACCATGAGCACCTCGCCTGGGAGCTCGGTGGCGGGCTCCATCGCCAGCTCGGCCGGGTGCCTGGTGCCCAGCTCGTCCTCCGCCTCCTTCCTGCCCCGCTTCGACTTCCTGCGAGGCTTGTGCTTGTTCTCTGCCTCGGGCTCCTCGGGCTCCACCTCCAGCTGTCTGCTGATATGAACCCTGACGCGGGAGCAAGGCTGGCGTGAAGCCGCTGAGGCTGGCAGCTGCCCTGACCACGGCCGAGGCCTCCCTGGCGGCACAGGTGGTCCAAGGGTCCCGCTGAGCTCAGGCCCCCGGAGCCACAGGGTGGCCACAGGGTCCCTGGGCTGCAGACTGAGCCACTTTCTCAGGGTCTCCCAAACAGCGTCCTCTCCGCCTCTTAGGCTCCAGCCAGATACAGGCATCCGCTTCGTCCCACACCAATGCCTCTCTGTCCCCATCCTAAGTATTGTGAACATGCGGCAGTGACAAGCCCCAGGGCCTCCTGTCCCAAACGGTGGCAGCCTGGCCAAGCACAGGCTGGGCTCTGAGACTCTGCCTGCCCTGCTCTGCACCCACCTCACCGTGGCTCTTCCTGTCGTTCAGGTCTCAATTTGAAGGACACCATTGCAAAGACTGTTGCCGAGCACTTCACGGAGATGCCCACCCACCTCCACCTCTCATGCTGTCTGCCTCTCTCCCCAGAGCACCTGGCACCACCTGAACTTAGGATCTGGCTCTGTTGCCCAGGCTACAGTGCAGTGGCATGATCGTAGCTCACTACAGCCTCGACCTCCTGGGCTCAAGCAATCCTCCTGCCCCAGCCTCCCAAGTCGCTGGGACTACAGGCACATGCCATCACGCCTAATTTCTTATTTTATTTTATTTTTTTTGGTAGAAACAGGGTCTTGCTGTGTTGCCCAGGCTGGTCTCAAACTCCTGGACTCAAGTGATCCTCCCACCTCAGCCTCCTGGGTAGCTGGAGCCACAGGCATGAGCCACCACATCCAGCGAATTTTTCTTTTTTTTTTTGGAGATATGGGATCTCACTATGTTTCCCAGGCTGGACTCGAACTCCTGGGCTCAAGAAATCAATTGTCTTGACATCCCAAAGTGCCGGGATTCCAGCCATGACCCACCACGCCCGGCCCTGCAGCGCACCCCTTTCTAAGACAGGAGGGGTCCCGAGGTGACACGCCTCACTCCTGCCCCCCGCTCTGGCCTCCCGCAGCGCCCGCCGGCCGCCCACCTTCTATGTCCCATGACGATCATGCGCAGCTTGTCTCCAAGGTCCTGCATTTCGTGGATCTGCGCAAACGTCCCCGTGTGATAGATTTCATCCAGGTTCTCCACCACGTCCGACTCGTTGCTGTGGGAGAGAAGCACAGAGGGACGCTGGGACACGAGCCCGCAGGCTCAGCAGTACGTCCCTGGCTGAGGGAAAATAAACGCCCCTACCAAGTGCTACTGAAACCCACAAGCAGCCTCCTGGGCTCCTGCAGGAGTGCCAGAGCCTAGAGGAGCTTCTGCCCAGTCAGGGCTGCACCCAGTGGTCACGGCACTGGGTGGGTGGCTCCTTGCTATGTCAGCCATGAGGACGGGTCTGGACGGGACTCTGATTCCCTTCTATGTCCCATCACAGAGCCCGCTTGGAATGCATGCAGGGAACTCACTTCTTTGAGACAGAGTTTCACTCTTGTTGCCCAGGCTGGAGTGCAATGGTGGGATCTTGGCTCAGTGCACCCTCCAACTCCCAGGTTCAAGCGATTCTCCTGCCTCAGCCTCCTGAGTACCTGGGATCACAGGCGCCTGCCACCACACCTGGCTGGTTTTTTTTTTTTTTTTTTTTGTATTTTCAGTAGAGATGGGGTTTCACCATGTTGGCCAGGCTGGTCTCAAACTCCTGACCTCAGCTGACCCACCCGCCTCGGCCTCCCAAAGTGCTTGGATTACAGACGTGAGCCACCGCACCAGCCCACAGAACTCATTTCTGTATGGAGCCACAATGTCCGACTGGCTAGCTGAGCTTTCAGGCAGCCTCACGGTGCATTTCATTGCTAAGATTCCTGAAGTTAATTTCCCTGTCTCAACAATACGGGAAGTTTAGCGCTAAAGCCGAGTGCTCCACCCAGGCTGAGGAGGTAGCCTGCCTGGCTCCTGGCCTTTACTCTGGAGGTCTTCTCTAGTTCCCTTTGGGTCAAGGGTCAAAGGTACAAAGTTCAGGGCAGGACCTGGGAGCTGGACTCTAGGGCAACGTCAACAAGGGAAGGAAGGAAAAATCACACACTTACTTGTCATCTCTCTTCAGAAAGACGCCAACATAAGGCTGGGCGAGACGAACTTTCCTTCTTAGCAGCTCAACCAACTTCTTATTTTTAACCTGGCATGACAATGACCTCAAAGTGAAACGTAGGGTAGGGTGTTTTTGTTTGTTTGTTTGTTTTGAGATAGAGTCTCATTCTATTGCTCAGGACAGAGTGCAGTGGCGTGAGCTCAGGTCACTGCAACCTCCACCCCCACTGGGTTCAAGGAATTTTCCTGCCTCAGCCTCCCAAACAGCTGGGATTACAAGCATGCACCACCACACCTAGCTAATTTTTGTATTTTTAGTAGAGATGGAGTTTCACCATGTTGGCCAGATTGATCTTGAACTCGTGACCTCAGGTGATTCTCCCACCTCAGCCTCCCGAAGTGCTGGGATTATAGGCGTGAGCCACCATGCCCGGTCCAGGGTAGCTCTTCTAGCTGACATTTTTGGACAGCAGCTCTTATGTTGTTTAGATTATTCTCTGGGGACGTGCTAAGCAGATCCAGGATACTAATCAACACAGGCTGGGAACCCCTAAACAAACAAACAAACAAACAAACAGGGCCGGGTCCGGGGCTGTGGTGCCGAACAGTGAGGTGGAACCGACTAGCTTCATTTCTTCCCAAAGTAAATTCAAAATAGATGAATGGCCAGAACCAAGAAACTGATTTAATATCCTCAAAAGGGATTTCCATGACAAAGTGGCTTGGTTTGAAAATCAAAACCATTCTCCTTTATTAGTATCAGAATAAACATAAATAATTCAAATGTGGCCCATCCCAGAGATTGATAACTTCCTCCAACTTTTTTTTTTTTTTTAAGACTGAGTTTCGCTCGTTACCCAGGCTGGAGTGCAATGGCGGATTTTCAGCTCACGACCTCCGCCTTCTGGGTTCAAGCAATTCTCCTGTCTCAGCCTCCCAAGTAGCTGGGATTACAGACATGTCCCACCAGGTCCGGCTAATTTTTTGTATTTTTAGTAGAGACAGAGTTTCACCATGTCTCTACTAAACTTGTTGGTCAGGATGGTCTGGATCTCTTGACCTCGTGATCCACCTGCCTCGGCCTCCTGAAGTGCTGGGATTACAGGCGTGAGCCACCACACCTGGCCCCAACTTTTTTTTTTAGAAACAGTTTCACTCTGCCACCCAGGTTGGAGTGCAGTGCTACAATCTCAGCTAACTGCAACCTCCACCTTCCCGGTTCAAGAGATTCTCCTGCCTCAGCCTCATGAGTAGCTGGGATTACAAGCACATGCCACCACACCTGCTAACTTTTGTATTATCAGTAGAGACAGAGTTTCACCGTGTTGGCCGCCAGGCTGGTGGTCTTGAACTCCTGACCTCAGGTGATCTGCCCACCTTGGCCTCCCTAAGTGCTGGGATTACAGGTGTCAACCACCGCTCCCGGGCCCTCCAAGTTTCACTGAAAATTCCTCATCACACCACGTGCTGTTCATTTATGATCAAGACCCCCAGGATCTCACAGCACAATCTTGATGGCAACACAATGGCAGGCTCAGGGCTAATGATGTCTTCTAAAAGCATTTGAAGGAGCAAGGCGCTCACCTTATTTCTTTCAAGCCATTGTTAATTCACAGGACAGACCCTGATTAAAGGTAATGGCCTGCCAAGTGCGGTGGCTCACAGTTGCAATCCTAGCACTTTGGGAGGCTGAGGCAGGAGGATCGCTTGAGCTCAGGAGTCTGAGACCAGCCTGGGTAACATGGCAAGACCCCATCTCCATTTTCTTTTTGAAATTTTCCATCTTTATCATATAATAAAGTAAATACATATACACCCCCATACAAAGGTAATGGCCCTCAAACTTTTGTAGGCACCAGGATGACACAAAGAATTTTAAAAAGCTCAATGCTGGCTGGGCATGGTGGCTCACACCTGTAATCCCAGCACACTGGGAAGCTGAGGCAGGAGGATCACACTGATCCGCAGCTACTCATTTAATGCTCTGGGCTAGCTCCACGTGGGCAGACTGAACTCTCAGAAGAATCATCTCTGCTCAGGTGCCGGGAGCGAGAGACATCTGTCGCTTTGCAGAGCTGAGGGGACTAGACCCGATGACACCATCCTGGGCCCAGAAACCTGGGAGGGTAAAGAGAACTGCTACAGGTGAAGTCAAGGATGGGAAAAAAGCGTCCGGGACAGGGTCCTGAAATGTCAGAAGTGCACCGACAGGAAACAGCACCACGTTATTACTGAGGCAGGGCCTCACTTTGTTGCCTAGGCTGGAGTGCAGTGGCGACACCGTGGCTCACTGCAGCCTTCATCTCCCAGTTTCAAGTAATACTCCTGCCTCAGCCTTCCGAGGAGCTGGGATGACAGGTTCACTCGACTGTGCCCAGACTTTTTTTTTTTTATTTTTTGGTAGAAACAGGCTCTATGTGAACCAGGCTGTTCTCAAATTATCCTCCCACCTCAGCTTCCCAAAGTGCTGGGATTTACACCTGTGAGACACAGGGGTCAGCCCACGTGGCCTCGTTTAACTCCCACAACAACTAATAAGACGCTAATACATCCATGTCACCAATGAGAAGATGGGAGCCAAAGGAGTAACTTGCTAAAGGTTACAGAGCCGGACAGGACCCCACAGAATCTTGCTCGGGGGCCTGCATCAGTAACCACTACTTAACAAGAAGGAAAGTCCTTGGGGCCAGGCAAGATGGCTCATTACCTGCAAATTCAGCACTTTGGGAGGCTGAGGCGGGTTGACTACATGTGGTCAGGAGTTCGGGACCAGCCTGGGCAACATGATGAAACCCTGTCTCTTCTAAAAAATAGAAAAATTAGCCAGGCATGGTGGCAGGTGCCTGTAATACCAGCTATTTGGGGGGCTGAGACAGGAGAATCACTTGAACCGGGAGGTGGAGGTTGCAGGGAGCTGAGACGGTGGTGCTGCTCTCCAGCCTAGTGAGAGCGCAACTCTGTATCAAACAAACAAACAACAACAACAACAACAAAAAAAAAAAACCAGGAAAGGCCTTGGAGGGGTCTCTCAGACACACAAACTAGCAGTGTGGGAGAGCTCCCTCCGTCCCTCTGGCTGCTGTCCCTCTGAAATGGCTTTTCCCTTCCCCAACAGATCCTTGACATTTGTTTAGCAGAGGGTGACTCACTGTATGACCTTGCTCTGATAGTTAACAGATAACCTTCCCATAGATCCCAGTTTCCACATCAGGTTCCTTACACTGATTGCTTTCTATTACATCATCCTGCTCCCTCCCCACCCACAAGGCTCTTACTCTGAAACGATGTAATTTCTACCACGGAAAGATAAGTTTCTTAGGCCGGGGACTGTATGACTTGTTCATTACGGTATTCTGAGCACGTGTTACGTGGCAGAAGGTCAAGAACACTCTGAACGAATAACGTCCTCTTCCCACCGTCCTAAGCCTCCAGTTCCATCCATGCTCTATTATTTCCCGTAATAATTACTGCCTTCTAATGCAACATAGTTGCTAATCATCTTTATCGCCTATCTCATCCTGCCAGAATGTAAGCTACAAGGCAGATTACTTTTTAAGAGACAGAGTCTCGCCATGTTAACCAGCTAGACTCCAGGGTTCAAGCAATCCTCCCGCCTTGGCCGCCGGAGTAGCCAGGACTACAGCGCGCGCCACCACGCCCAGCTTCAAAGGCAGAAATTTTTGTCTGCCTTGTTCACTACCATATCCCCAGCACCTAGAACAGTCTCTGGCAAATAAGCAGTCAAGAAATATTTAAGAATGAATTCTGATCCCACTGGGGCTCGTAACCCGACAGCACAGCGCCTAGGGAGAGAAAGCGTTACAAAACTTGTGTGCCAAGTAAGCAGAAGACCAATGGCGCTGTAACACTACTCTGGCCCTTCCGGATCCCGGATTTCTATGACCGGGACTCTAAGTGGACAATCCTAGGCTCACTGGGTTCAACTCCTCCCATCTAACGGATCCTGAGAGATCCGAAAGGAAGAGGACTTTAGCTCAAGGTCCCCAAGCTAGTGGTGAGCAGACCAGGATTCTAACTGCAGCCTCTGAAAAACTCACGTCTGAAAAAGCTGCGAAACACGAGGGCGCTAAAGTGATCCCACCCTTCAGCCCGCTGCTTGCAGAGGTGTGAAACCTGAGACCGCGGCGGGGACTCCCATTACCTCAATAATCTTGATAAAGCGCGGGAACACCGGGTTGCGGGTGATGGCGATGAGCGGCAGGTGCGGGAACACATCCGGAATCGTCATGGGCGTGAGCGCCGTAATGACCGGGCCTTCCCCGCCGCCCGCGCTGCCCCCCGTACCCCCGGCTCCTTCCTCCGCGCCGCCCTCGGAGGCGTCGTCTTCCCCCGAGAAAGCGCCTCCGCCGCGGCTGTTCGCTTCCCAAAGTCCCCGCCACTGGCCCCCAATTGCCGGGCCTCGGCCCCACAGGGTCCAAGGAGGAGACGCGTCGCAAGCCCGCCGGCCTCGGAGCAACCACGCTCCAGCTGCCGTGGGGACCCGCCCCCCGGCGGCGGCCAGCATCGGCCGCCGCAGCGCCCAGCACCGCGCAGCGCCCCACAATCGCACGTAGCCTGTGCCCGCCGCCATAACCCGGCCATACTGGCGGCGCCCACAACTCACGTCATTTCCGCTCACCATGTAACGCACGTGACGCCCGGCGCGTGCCTCGGCACTCGATGGGGGCGTGGCCCGAAATAGCCACTTCAGAGGGCGGGGCCTACGCCGACGAAGGAAGCGGCGTTGGACTGTCAGCATTTCCTCTGCCTTTTCCGGTTTCCCACCTTAGGCGCTCAAGGGCCGTTACGGTCACGTGGAAGGTTGTGGGCACGCGCCAGCACCCATACAGAAAATTGGTAATGCTGCAAACGCAGCGTTTAGGAACTCATGAACAGCCAGTAGACACGCTTACATGCGCGGACGACATGCCCATGCTCAGGCTCTGGGGCTTCTAGTGGTTGAAGGATTTGGCATTCCCTGGAGACGGCATGCTTGCTCAGACTTGCTCAGACTAGAGTGGCCACGGGTGGCCGTGTGCGCATGCCCAGACTCTGAGCGCGCGCTGGGGTGTGCGGATTCGGACTTCCCGGGATTCGCCTGCGCATGCTCAGGGTTCAGGCAGAGCGTGAGGGTTGCAGTGCGCGGAAGCGCACGCAGGGGCTCATTGGTACGCATGCGCAGTCTCCAGCTTGCGCGTTTTCGGATTCTGCAGCGACTCCCTGTGGCGGTTGAGGGACAGTAGTGGCGGCAGAGGCCCAGGCTCGATGCTGATGTGGATGCTGGTGGCGGCTGTGACCCTGTGGCTCTGCCCGCTGGTCACAGCTCAGCCGCTCTGCCGGTGGGGCTGCCCCCCTGGGGCTGGGTTGCTGCCGGGGGTCGGGAGGGTGCTGGTTCATCTTGGAGCCAGGCCTGCTACCCGTTCGCTCTTTTTAGGAATCGGACTCGGCGCCTCCCCACTCCATCCCATCCTCCCAGCCCGACACTAAACCCTCTTTTTTTTTTTTTTTCTTTTTTTTTCTTTTTTTGGAGACGGAGTTTTTGCTCTGTGGCACAGGCTGGAGGGCAGTGGCGCCTCCTGAGTAGCTTGGATCGCAGGCACCCGCCACCACACCCGGCTAATTTCTGTACTTTTAGTAGAGATATAGTTTCACTATGTTGGCCAGGCTGGTCTCGAACACCTCACCTCTTGATCCGCCCACCTCAGCCTCCAAAAGTGCTGGGATTGCAGGCTTGAGCCACTACACCTGGCCTTACCCAGCACATTTTTAAATTTTGGTAAATGTTAGGTTAGGGATACTGCAACCTGCCATGGGGGGCTGTTGCTGAAACGCCATTCTTGCCTCTGGGGAACTCCCGCTTGGAAAAAAACTGTCACATTCAGTAGGGACCTCTGAGCTGTAGTCTTGGGGTGTATGGCCTTATTTGATGTTTACAGCAAGATTCCTAGAGTAATGATTCCTTAACTTTATTTTATTTATTATTATTTTTTGTAGAGACGGGGTCTCACTGGCTGGGTGCAGTGGCTCACGCCTGTAATCCCAACAATTTGGGAGGCTGAGGCGGGATAATCACTTCAGGTCAGGAGTTTCAGACCAGCCTGGCCCACGTGATGAAACCCTGTCAACCTTGTCTACTAAAAACACAAAAATTAGCCGGTGTTGGTGGCAGGTGCCTGTAATCCCAACTACTTAAGAGGCTGAGGCAGAAAAATCGCTTGAACCCACCTGGTGGAGGTTGCAGTGAGCTGAAATCATGCCACTGCACTCCAGCCTAGGTGACAGAGGGAGACTGTCTCAAAAAAATAATAAAGATGGAGTCTCACTCTGTTGCCCAGGCTGGTTTTGGACTCTGAGGCTCCAGTGATCCTCCTGCCTCAGCCTCCCAAAGTGCTAGAATTTACAGGTGTGAGCCACTCATGTCCAGCCATACCCTTATTTAACTTTTTATTTTTATTTTTTTTTTTTGAGACAGAGTCTCCTGGGCTGGAGTGCAGTGGCACAATCCTAGCTCACTGCAGCATCCATCTCCGGGTTCAAGCAATTCTCCTGCCTCAGCCTCCTAAGTAGCTGGGATGCCAGGCATGGGCCACCACACCGAGCTAATTTTTTGTAGTTTTAGTAGAGACGGGGTTTCACGATGTTGGGCCAGGCTGGTCTAGAACTGCTGACCTCGTGATTCACCTGCCTCAGTCTCCCAAACTGCTGGGATTAGAGGCGTGAGCCACCGTGCCAGCCCACACCCTTGTTTTGTAGGCAGGAAAGCATCCTTAGGAAAAAAACACTTGCCTAACAACATGTAGCTAGTAAGTGGGGAGGAAGATTTTCCACTAAAATTTACTAATAGGATTTGTCTCAAGGTCTGAAAAGATGGGTTATATCCAATTCATTTCCCCACATGGGTTCTCAGAGTGCTCCCTGGACCAGCAGCATCAAGATCACCTGGGAATTTATTATAATTGGTTAGAAATGCAACCAGTTTCTGGACCGACTGAGTCAGGGACTTGGCGGTTGGACCCATCAAACAATGGTTAATCAAGACTGCCCCCCATCTCACAACCCCGGTGATTCAGATGCATATTCAAAATTGAACACCTCTGCTGTAAACTATACCATCCTTCCAGGCACCACACACTCCCTTCAGGACCCTCAAATACCTTGTTGCAGGAATTCATAATCTTCCTCAACTGGGGTCTGTGAATGAGCCTTTAGAAATTCTCAGGAATTGGCTGGGGCAGTGGCTCACGCCTCCAGGATGTTCAGAGGCCAAGTCAAAGGGATCACAAGGTCAGGAGATTAAGACCATCCTGGCTAACACGATAAAACCTCGTCTCTACGAAAACTACAAAAAAAAAAAAAAAAAAAAAAAAAAAATTAGCTGGCTGTGGTGGCACATCCCTGTAGTCGCAACTGCTTGGGAGGCTGAGGCAGGAGAATTGCTTGAACCTGGGAGTCGGAAGTTGCAGTGAGCCGAGATCGCGCCACTGCACTCCAGCCTGGCGCAACAGAGCAAGACTCTCTCTTTCAAAAGAAAAAAAAAATTCTCAGGAATTGTTTCTACATTTTATGTGTACATATGTCTGCTTCTGGGAGAGGAGTTTCATCCAAATGTCTTTTTTATTTTTTGAGACGAGTCTTGCCCTGTTGCCCAGGCTGGAGAGCAGTGACGTGTTCTTGGCTCACTACAACCTCTGCCTCCCTGGTTCAAGCATTTCTAGTGCCTCAGCCTCCTGAGTAGCTGCCACAACAGGCGCCTGCCACCACGCACAACTTTTTTTTTTTTTTGTATTTTTAGTGGAGACAGGATTTCACCATGTTGGCCAGGCTGATCTTGAACTCCTGACCTCAGGTGATCCACCACCTTGACCTCCCAAAGTGCTGGGATTACAGGTGTGAGCCACTGCACCCGGCCCTAATTTTCATATTTTTAGGAGAGATGGGGTTTCACCAAATTGTTCAGGCTGGTTTTGAACTCCTGACCTCAAGTGATCCACTTGCTTCAGTCTCCAAAGTTCTGGGAGTAAAGCTACCGCACTGGCCTCATCCAATTTTCTAGGGCCTCCTATAACCCTAAAAACATCAAGAACAGCTACTTGGCCTGGCATGGTGGCTCATGCCTGTAATCCCAGTGCTTTGGGAGGCTGAGGCAGGTGGATCACGAGGTCAGGATTTTGAGACCAGCCTGGCCAACATGGATAAACCCTGTCTCTACTAAAAACACAAAAATTAGCCGGGTGTGGTGGCACACACCTGTAATCCCAGCTACTTGGGAGGCTGAGCAGGAGAACTGCCTGAACCCGGGAGGCGGAGGTTACAGTGAGCCGAGATTATACCACTGTACTCCAGCCTGGGCAACAGAGTAAGATTCTGTCTCAAAAACCAAGCAAAACAAAAAAACCCCGAATACTTAGGGTTAACCCTGAGGTGGCTGAGTAGGAGTCGTCATGCTGAATATTGAATAAAAACTGACAGATGGTCTTTCTTGTCATTTCTAGTGCTCGCAGAGTGAGGACAGGAAAAATATTATTAAATGTCATGCAGGATGTCGAAGGGGTATGTGGCTCCACACTTAAATTCATCCTTCACTTTAATTACAGGATCAGAAGTAACATTTCCTCCTATTTCTTGGGTGCTGGTCTTGTTATGCACTTAATGATCATTACTTTTTCCAGTCCTTAGAACTCACTGCCCTTTGAGGTAGGGATTAATGCTTCCCATTTCACTGAGAAACAAGTTTAGAGAGATCAAGCAATCTGAACAGGCCGGGAGTGGTGGCTCATGCCTGTAATCCCAGCACTTGGGGAAGCTGAGGTGGGCAGATCACCTGAGATCGGGAGTTCGAGACCAGCCTGACCAACATGGTGAAAGCCTGTCTCCACTAAAAATACAAAATTAGCCGGGTGTGATGGTGGGCGCCTGTAATTCCAGCTACTCGGGGGCCTGAGGCAGGAGAATCGCTTGAACCCAGGAGGTGGATGTTGAGGTGAGCCGAAATCACACCATTGCACTCCAGCCTGGGCAACAAGAGTGAAACTCCATCGGGCCGGGCACGGTGGCTCAAGCCTGTCATCCCAGCACTTTGGGAGGCCGAGGCGGGTGGATCACGAGGTCGAGAGATCGAGACCATCCTGGTCAACATGGTGAAACCCCGTCTCTACTAAAAATACAAAAAAGTAGCTGGGCGTGGTGGCGCGTGCCTGTAATCCCAGCTACTCAGGAGGCTGAGGCAGGAGAATTGCTTGAACCCAGCAGGCGGAGGTTGCGGTGAGCCGAGGTCGCGCCATTGCACTCCAGCCTGGGTAACAAGAGCGAAACTCTGTTGAAAAAAAAAAAAAAAAAAAAAAAAGAGTGAAACTCCATCTAAAAAAAAAAATCTTAACAAAGCCAAGAGGTAGAGGTGGGAAGACAACTAAGATGGTCTGAGTTTATACCAAGTGTTCTCTTTACTCTTCCCTTAAATAGATTTTTTTTTTTTTTTTTGGAGGTCCCAAACCCTCCGCCAGCTTCCCCCAGCAGTCACATCTGACCATAGTACAATATCAAAACAGGAAAGTGACATCGATACAATCCGCCTACCTAATTCAGATTTCACCCTTTATGTTGATAATGGTCCCTGTTGAAAAGTATTTCTATCAGCTGTTTGTGGTAATTGATATTAAGATTTTGTGATTGTCTCTCTAGGACCACCTGTCTTTTTCGTCTACAACACCACGCTTGATTACACATCCTTGCAAGAAAAATATAGCGCTATATCTA